GGTGAAAGATTGAATTCAGATGCCTCGGTTACCCTCTTATACCATGGTGAGGTTGATATAACCCCAGAGGGATAGTTTCAAGGTGATTTAGAAATGGAAAATTGATAACAAATTTGATCATGCTTTGGATCATTTACCTGCCATCATAACTGGCTGTTATTTATCATCAGGACACAACATCAGGGTGGTCATTGTCAATTATATGTCAATTTGAATGGATTAAGAATGGGCTGGCAGGTCAGCAGAGCCCAGTTCTGAGTATGTCTGTGGATGACTGAGAGACAAACAAGCAAACCAAGAGAGAAAGATGTAGGATAAGCGATGATAAAATTATAATTGATAAAAATTTTATTGATAAAATTATAACAACAGAGAAAAATACAATGTACTCTGGGATTTTCTGAAAGATACTAAAGAAGGCCTAAATTATAGGACAGATAAGCCATGTTAATGAAATAGAAAACTCAGTATTACAAAGATTATAATGATTATAAAGATGATTGTAATGTGACCATATCCTCTTATTGTAATGCTAATCAAAATTTCAACAGTTTTTTCATGAAACTTACAAGCTAGTTATAAAATGTATATGTGAAAGCGAAAGGCCACAGAATAACATTACTAAAGAAAATGGACAAAGGGAGTAAAAGGTAATTACCCAGCTGGATAGTTACTATAACATTTGGTGCAAAGCTAAAAGAAGACCAGTAAAATGTAACATGAAATCCAGAAGTAAGCATCTTACCTATAGGAAAGACACAGCACGTGAGTGACACTGTAAAACAATGGTAGAAGATGAATTATTCCATAAATGTGTCTGAGGGAATGTGCATCCACATTGCAGAAAAAAGAATTGGCTTCTTACCTTAAAACAAACACACAAATCAATTCCAATCATTTAAAAGTTTAACTGTGAGAAGCAAATTTTATAACCTTGAGACAAAAGGATTTCTTAAATGGGACATCTAAAATGCAAGTCATAAAAAATGAAAAATTCCTAATAACTGAAAGTACTATAAAAACAGTGGAAACAAAGGAAGATAGAACACTTATAAGTACATCACAAAATATGTACCTAAAGCCAACAAAATCTGGCATACAGAAAACATAAAGAATTATAGAACAATAAGAAAAAGACGGTCAACCTATATAGTAACTGACAAAAGGGATGAATAGGCAAACAAACATAAGACTCATAGGAAAATATGTTCAGCGCCTTAACAATTAATGAAGTACAAATTAAAATCATGAGATGCTACTTTGCACTTAGAATATCATAAAAATGCAGTATGTGGAACAATTAGCCTTCCATATACATGCGTGGGTGCTTATTTAATTAATAGTCTCACCCTGATAAAGCAGAGGTCAGAAATTTGCTGCACTGTCAATGGCTCAATAATTATCTCCCTAAAATATAGACCGAGCAAGGGCCAAGCTTACAAGCACCACCTTGAAGGTTTTTAGGGGACCAGAGCCTAAGTTTGACTAATCATCTTTTCACAGATTGGTCACTGATCTAATGGACACACATCATTTTTCTTCAAGACTGGGTTAAATTGGTACAGGATAGAATTAGCTTATATATTTACCTGTGTTCTGGGTATAAAGATGGTGTCCTTATGCAATTAATACACACAAGATAATTCGGAAAAACACTAGCATAGGAATGGATTCTTTACCAAAGGACAGTTCTGTCCCCTTTCTCTCTCTTGCCGTGTCTGCCCTTCTGGCTTCCATTTGGAATAATACAGTAAGAAGACCCCTACCAGATGCCAGAACCTTGGTCTTGGACTTCTCAGCCTCCAAAACTATGAGAAATAAGCATCTACTCATTATAAATTACATCTGTCTCAGTACTGCATCATAGAAGCACAAAATAGACTAAAACAATTGGTCATCTCTTTGTCCTTAAATGACCGGTGCACATACATAATTGATAATGTATGTTCATTCTAGAAGATGCAGCTAAGGAAAACCAATATTTAAAAAATATATCAGCTCATCATCCAAAGATAACCCGAGGGGATATGTGCATGTGTGTGTATATATACATATTCTCAAAACTTTAAAACATATAATGCACAGTTTAAATGCAGGTATATGTTCATGTTGTCCCCTTTTATGAAATCATATATATATATAATTTTTTTAGATGCCAACAATTACAGTACCTCAACATGGTAACAGAAAACAGAGATATCTACCATCACTTACCCAAGTGCCTTTCCTGTGTTGGACATTGCAAACAGGTCACTAAAGTCCTCCAGGTAAACCTTCATTTTGGATAGATTCAATAAAGCAAGAAACTAACATATTTTTTGTGAGCTTCGGCTGACACCTTGTGGAAAGCAACTGTTAGCTATTTCATAGCCTCTGTCTTTACTGATGCAGCTGAGGCCTGGCATCCCATTGATAATTTATCTCAGACTGAGCTTCTCACTGTTACTGGGCAATTCCGAGATCAACCCGAAGCTGTGCTTCTCCAACTACAAATGGGGAGTGATGTTTCCACACCTTTTCAACATAAAATTATTTGCATGGCAACTCCATGCAGAAAGCATCCCATTTTATTTAAAGCAAAATTCAGGCATGTTTTATGACACCAGCCATAAAACAATTTTGCACCATTTTCTAGGAGTTGCTGTAAACAGTGCTCTGAGATTTGGAAATTCTATCTTGGCAGGCAGGGAACGCTGTGCATATACAGCCAGGGAGACCCTACAGCCAGGGCTAAGCACTTATTTCCAACTTTGTTGCCCACGGAAATCCTGCGAAGCTTCCTGGGCTGCATCCAGAAACTTCTGTTCCTACTGAAGAAGCTGACCTGATACTCCCCTGGTCTATAGGAGTTCGGATGGTAAGGAAGGAGTTTAATTAGTTGGCCTGGGTTCCTGAGAGCACCATTGGGCTGCCCAGGGTCAGTAACCAGTTGCATGGGATGGGATCAAATTAGAAACCTCCTGCAGGCTTCCTTTTTCTTTAGATAGCACTTTAGACCATGGCTAGGGAAAGCCTGTCCAGAAAACAGAGAGAACCACCAGGAGCAACAGTGAGCTTTGCATTTGGGCTGGATCAGGCCTGGTTTAGACTTTAGTTAACCTCTTGAATTTGAGATTGAGAAATCTCACCCCCCCTAGCTGTTCATGAGTCAGTCATGAGAGACAGAGGCAGATCCTTGGACTGTCTGTGAAGCTGGCAAGTAAAGCCCTGGAGCTTTCGAGAGTACGAGAGGCCAGTTCTGAAAAGCTGAACTATGACTCATCAGAGAGTTGTGGAAGAGAAGATTTTTCAGTACAGAAGGAAAGAGAGAGAGAGAGACAGAGAGAGAGAAAGAAAGAGAAAGAAAGAAAGAAAGAAAGAAAGAAAGAAAGAAAGAAAGAAAGAAAGAAAGAAAAAAGAAAAAGAAAAAACTTGGCTGGGGATTTAGCTCACTGGCATAAGTGCTGCCTGGCAAGCACGCAGTCCTGAGTTTGATCCCTGGTACCAAAAAAGAGAAAAAAGAAAACTTCTACAAGACCCCGAGTCTTTGAATGTATCATGCTAAATGTTTTAAAACTAAATTATGTGTGGAAGTACAGGGTCCCAAGAAACAGCATGATATATTTCTAAATACTCACAAAAGAGGAGGAGAAAGATACCCTAGCTGTTGGTAAAAATTGGAAGAGCTGCAAACTGTAGATCCAGTGGCCACTTGCAGCAGGATGGAGTCTGCAGATGAGACACAGACTTCCTTAGCATACAGGAAGTTCACAAGGGAGGGTCCTTCGGGGCAGCACTCCAGGAGAGCAAGAAAGGAAAGGAACTTGGACAGGTGACTTCGGGCAGCCCACGTCCATCAAGGCTGTCCCCCGGTAGACTGGAATGGTACAACCTACATACTCCCACCTGGATGGGTTAATGGATTTGGAGAACCGGGGGCAGCAAGACCTCTAGTGAGAAAGCTCTCTAAAACAAAATCCCGGAAGAGGCTGCCAATTAAAGGATCAGGCAGAGGGCACTTCAGGAAGCTGCAGCATTTTTTAGAGGAATCTGGGTGGTGCAACTCTTGACCAATGCAATACATTCTGTGGACACTTACCTGAGCCCTGAGACTCCTCTCACCTTCTCTTTCTCCCCAGATTTCTGCAGGACAACATGAATGGACTGTGGTGCAGGCCTCAGGGTGAACAGCCTTGTTAAGATACCTCTTAGTACTCAGTAATGCTTTTTATATTAATCACATCAGCAGAAGTACTCAAACAGAGATGTTATAAAGTTGGAAACACTTTTCTAAAATATCCACCATAAAGCAATGCCAATCATAAAACACAGACCAGATTTTTTCTTTATGAGTGTTAGAAAAATACAAGATTTTTTTTTTTTTTTTAATCAAGAAACAGAATATTGTGGGGCTGGGGATTTAGCTCAGCGGCATAAGCACCTGCCTTGCAAGCAGGCGGTCATGAGTTCGATGCCCGGTACCGATAAAAACGAAAAAGACAAAAAAGCAAAACAAAACAAAAAACAATATTGCAATCAGAAATGTAACGGATAAGGCTTTACCAACAAAGACACATTTTTCTATGTCCCTGGGTTCTGTGTTCTTACACTGATGGGCACCTTAACTGTATTTTGTGTTGGGATTTCTCATTTTCATTTTTTATTTTAATTAGTTTGTCGCAAAGAACCTCTTCCTGCCTGCTGCATTACCGGTGATGCGGCCTGGTCTTCCCGCCCTGCGCCTGCCGCGCCGCGGACCAGACTCTGGCGCGCAGGAGGCGTCTGCGCGGGGACAACTGGAGCAGCCAACGGATGGCGCCACACGTCGCGGGCCTGGGTTCATTTCCGGCTCATTTCGGCCCCATTTCCGCCCTTAAAAGCTGGAGGGGGCGGGACCTAGACATTGGGCGTGGATTGGCCAGGAGAAAGTACCGCAAACCCGTTTGAAACCCCCAATCAATCCTTGGCGCTTGAGCTCTAGCCAATAGAAACACGAGAATTGGGCAATAGGGGCGGAGCGGCCGATTTGAGCGGCGCGCGGGGAGCGGCGAAGCGGCTGTCCGGCGCCATTGTCTACGGGAGCGGCGCGTAGCATGGAATTTCAGGCTCTGCAGGGCGAATGCCCGAAGGAAGACACGCTGGTGCTCAAGTTCAGGGAGACCCGCCGCCGCTTCCAGAGGCGGATGCAGCAGCTGATAGCGAAGGTAGGCGCCACCGGCCAGTGGCGGGTTTGGGCGGGGAGAGCTGGGTGCGGGATTCGGGAGGTGCGGGTCGGGACCTGACCCACGCCCCTCCCTCCCCCGCAGTATGAGCACCCCTTCGAGGATGACCCGCTGGTGCACATGTCCACGCTGACCTACAAGACGCCCAAGGGTATGCAGTCCCTACCCCACCCCAGCACTGGTGGTTGAGCGAGTGACCAGTGACACGTAGGATTCAAGGTGCTACCGCTGCCCTCTTAGGAAAGTAGAGCTTGGTAATCTATACATTGCCCTCAATAAGCATGTATTTTTAAGAACAGTGCTTGGCATAGCTGTGTTCCTCTTTTCATTTAGCTTTTCAGGTTAGTGATATAATTTGACAAGCCTCTCTGCCTGCTCGGTAGAAGAGATTTCTGTTAAAGAAAAATCTGTCTAGTCTTAGAAATTTTGGACTTCACAACGATGAGCAACAGGCAGTCAGAAAGCTGGCTTGCTTTTACAGTTATGTATCTTGTGTATCTATCACTTTGGCTGCTATGAGTGCAGGTTAACCAAAACTTCAGTATTGAGAATTACTTCACTGACATGACTGTTTTTCTTTTCCTAAGGATTGAGATTTTGGGGAGGAAGACTGATTACAGAAACAAACCAAGGACAAATCCAGGTACTTCACATCAGATTGTATGCTTAAATGCATTCCTTCGGGGAAGGATGGGTGTGAATGGGTGCTGCTGAGTGAACCCTTGTGCTGAATGCTGCTGGAGGCTTTGGCAGGAAGCTTTTCATCCTGTTCCTGTGTTTGAGGATTTACCTGGAAGAGCATTTCTTCTGCTGCCTAATCTGGTCTAGGTGTGGAGAGGCCAAGCTAGTGGGCTGATGTTCTATAGGCTACATATCCCCTTGAGTCCTAACAGAAAAGACCAGATTCACGGGTGTGGTGGTACAAGGCTGTAATCCCACTTGGGAGGCTGAGGCAGGAGGATTGCCTTGAGTTAAAAAAAAGGCCAGCCTGGGTTACATAGTGAGCTCAAAGCTGGCTTGAGCTACAGAGTGATCTCCAATAAATAAATAAATGGACCAGATCTATTTTCCTGTGGGAAAGGAGAGAGATGGGTGGAGGACAGAGTGTGCAGGGTCACACACTCTTCCTTATGCATTTTTCTGTTTTGAGGACAAGGTTTCAAGCCCTGCATCCAAAAATGATCCCAAGTCTTTGCAGCTAGCGATCTATTCTGTTTTACTGGGTGGCGTCAGGAGGGAGAGTTTGCCCTCCTGCCATGAGATTCCCCTCAAGCATCCTTTTGCCCTGGTAGCTTTTGCAACATTGTCTGGTATTCTGTTTCAGCAGTGTTTCTCAGATGCCCCGGCTCCTCCTGTGGTCCCAGGTCAGGGAACCAGTGTCTAAGAATCAGCACATCCAGGTTAAGGGTACACTATAGAAATGTTAGATAGACATATGAGTACTTTAATTTAGGCTGACCTCTGGTATAATACATGTTTTAAAATATACATTTTTAAAATTCCTTTCCAGTTATGATATATGGGGAACCTTTCTCCATGCATTGTATAGTTAAGTCAATTTTTGTATGAAGGGCCACGTGTAAGTATCTTAGGCTTTGCCATCTGTGCTGTCATAGCTGCTTGGCTCTCCTGCAGGAGAAGCATCTGTAGGACAGTCGTAATGCACAGGCGTGGCTGTGATTCAGCAGAGCTATGTCCTCAGAAGCATTCCGGGCCTGACCTCCTCCCAGTTGTCATTTCTTCCAGTGCGGTAAATGCACAGGAAGCCAAAGGACGTGCTCTCCTTATCTATCAGCCCTGTGCTAGAATGGTCCTGGTGATGCAGTGTTTCTATCTGGATATTTAAAGTTCTCTCTTCCAATGTGGGAGGATTCCTGCCAGAATCTATAGAGTTTTTAGACCCATTCTTGAGATTAGAAAGCTGGGCAGAGCTGTTATTACAACTCAGACAGCCACAACCTCACTGGGATCACTGTTGGTGGCTGGACCTAGGTCTGTCCTCATCTTTTCCCAAAAAACCCAGTGTTCAAACTCTGCTCCTGAGGTCACAGCCCTGGAGCAGCCCTGGCAGTGGGAGCAGGCAAACCTTGGTACGAGGCACTTTCACTGGGGGCCAAGTGGTGATATCCAGAGATAGGTTTGGGTTAGTGCCACTCAGTAGCCAAAGGCTCTGGGGCTCACAGGCCATGACACCTAGGCCTCTCCCTCCCAGGGGGTCCTCCCCATGACCCACTCCCTGTTCTCACAGGGCAGGTACTTCCTAAGGTGCCATGACCCCTCTGATATCTAGAATCCTTGAATGTTCCCGAAGCCTCTCAAAGCTTCCTGTCTGTGAAGGACAGCAGGGAAGGACAGCAGGCCTGGTACATGCAGGGACTCACGAGGTGCTCTCTCCAACTGTCTTTGTTGATTTTTGCACCTCCAGGATGCCCTCGGGAACCAAGGTGATGAGCCTCTACATCCCCATTCTCGGGTCTGGGGCACCGGTGAGTGCAGCCTCGATTCAGAGGGGGCCCTGGCCCAACAGATGTCTATGCTCTGACAGATAAAACAGTTTATCCTCTTTTCTACAGGTGTCTTAAAAGCTAAGACATGTTAACACAGCCTGCCATGTCCTCCTCAGCAGCTTGAGGGCCAGGGAGCCATCTCATGCCCAGTTCAGTCCCCTCACAGTGCCTGGCATGTAGCCACTCAGACGTTTCTTGAATAAACGACCATCCCTCTCTCCCTGCCCACTATTTAAAAAGTTAATGTCAAGGCTTAATGAGCCAGCCTTGCCCTCCGAAGCAGTTGTGGACGCTCGCTTTCTGTAGACCCTGCCACTGCATTCATCCCTCTGTCCTTCATCTTCCTCATGGTCCCTGGAGGTTCCCTCCCCTCACCTCGGGTGTCTCGCTGGCCCTGCCTGGTCTCTCACAGGTCCTGCTGGCCCTTCCTTTCTTCTTTCTTTCCTTCCTTCTTTCTGTGTGCCCCCCTCAGTGCTTAGACACTGGGATTTTCTGTAGCACAGGCAGCATGCCCTGTATATCTTCCCCATGCTGTGTCCCTGTCTAGTTCCTTCCCTTTGTTTTTTCCCGTTACCACCCGCTTCCACCCTTCCTGTCCAGACCCATCCTATCTAACAGAAGAAGGCCCGAGGGTCCCCACCACCACCTGCCCTCTGCTCTCAGCCCCTCTCTTGTTCCTCATGCCCAGGGCATTGATGTCCTGTGCCTTTTGGGGTGCTATGAATTAAGCCCAGGACCTTCGCGCTGAACTACATCCCTGTCCTCTTTTCTTTTGAGGCAGCATCTCGCTAAATTACCCAGGCTGAGCTGGGATTCACAGCCCTCCTGCCTCTGCCTCCTGGAGTGCTGGGAATATAGGATTTGGTCATCACTCCAGACCCTGACCATTCCGCAGCCTCTGTTCCCTCTGCCCAGCTCCTTCCTGGCACCTGGTTGGCAGCAGGCAGTTGGTAACATGAGTGGTTGAATGACATATTACTGGTAAAATTGGTCTTTTGGGATAGGATTAGAAAGAAAATATAAGAAATCCTAATATAATGGGATTTTTCTTTACTGGTATTAACCCTAACTCCATAAATACTTAGCTCTATGAATTTCCCAGACCCCCCAGTGCTGTTTACCAGAAAGTAGACTTACACCGAAGTCTGGGTTCCTGAGCTTACAGCGCGCTGTAGCTGCTTGGTGGCCGTTGTGGCTCCTGGTGACCATGGGCAGCAGGTGGAGAGTGGCCCGCCATTGCGGGGGGGTCTGCTAGGCAGAGCTGGGTGGGGCTCTCAGCTTCTACAACTGCTGGTGGGAAATTGGACCTAGGTGTGTCCTGCTGGTCGCTTCGGTCTTGACTAATGATAAGCGACCATGTCTCTACAGAAGCAATGCAGATTTTACTGTGGAACACTTGTGATAGGAAAACTGACCTTGATAGGCCTACACAGGCTTTCCTAAAGACCCTGCTCTCCACGTGCTTGTTTACTTCTAGATTCAGGAAGCAGTGACACTGAGGTGGCAGCTTCAGACCAGGAGGACCCGTCCGCCTGTGCCCTGGCGGTGAGTGCCACCAGCAAGGCTGGAGGCAGCTTGAGTCTCAGGCAGTGCAAGTCCTCTGCCTGGGCTCCCTCGAGGCTGCTACCCCTCTGATCTCTGGTCCCCTGCTGTTGGTCCCCCAAGCCCTGTGTACCCCCTTGGCCTGCCCTGACTTGATGCTGTCCCATGATGGCGAGTACACAGGAGGATTTTCACTTTGGGAAGCTCCCAGCATGCATCTGCCCTGAGACAGTCTGGTCCCGAGCCAGGCTTACTCTGTAGAAGTGTTTCCGGTCTGCCCTTGAAGCCCACAAGGTCACTGCCCTAAAGGATCTGTGTGTGTCCCTTCCCGAATGCTCCCACGTCACAGGACCACTGTCTCCACACGTGGTGTGAGTGTGCCCTCGGCTCCTGTCTCAGGATAGTTGAGAAGCACAGAGTTTAGCCTGTCCAGCCGTCTTTCCTGGCCTCACCACACCTGCTACTTGATGCCAAAGTAACCAGTGCCCGCCGGTTCTCTGCAAAAGTTGCCTTTGGTGCTGAGTTGCTAAGACCCCGCTGTGTGACTTGTCATCTACATGGAAAGCGAGGCGGTGGCCCTGGGCAAGGAGCGTGACACTGTGTGTGAAGTTTTCTGCTGACATCAGCAGTGAGGAGGAAGGGAGCCCGTTTTATGGAAACTGGGGTGCAGGCCAGGCCCTGCCACACAGGTGCCTTGTCCCCATGGCATCTCAGGTCCCGGGCTCAATCCTACGCAGGTGCGGAGAGGACAGTGGAGCCCTGACACTGTTGGGCAGGTGAGGCCTGGCTTTCCAGCCCCCTCTGCCACCACAGCTGGAGCACTGAGCCTCTTACCTACTCACCAGCTGGTTTCTTTTTTGGTTTTTTTTGTCTTTTTCCTTTTATCGGTACCGGGGATTGAACTCCCGACCGCCTGCTTGCAAGGCAGGTGCTTATGCCGCTGAGCTAAATCCCCAGCCCCCACCAGCTGATTTCTTACCAAGAATTGGGCCTGAGCCCTCTCCCAGAGGTTTAGATCATCTCGTTTTTTCTATTCTGGTGCTAATTCATAAACGCCTCCCAGCTGCTGTGTTTTGGTATTCTTTTTAGAGGTCACCCTGGCTAAATTCCCTAGACTTAGTCACTGGGTCAGTGAATTTTCTGAGGGACTACATCACTTTATGGGAGGGTAGTTGTGCTTTTTGGTATTTTGAGAGTCTCACTATGTAATTTAGGCTGGCTTTGAACTCACAGTGATCCTCCTGCCTCAGCCTCCTGAGTGCTGGGGTTACAGTCATGTACCACCATGCTCACAGCGGGCTTCGCAGCGCTGCACTGCCATCAGCAGGAAGCGAGCAAGCAACATTGAGCACCTCCCTCTAAAGCCAAGTACTAAGGAGCTTGCCACTGTGTTCCGGAGCTCGAGAGGCCGGCTGTTCCTGGCCGCTCTGGGAGTCACTGGCTTCCCTTTCTCCTCAGCCTGCAGTGCCTCAGAGCCCTCTGAAAGATGACTTAAGAAGGAAATACCTGACCCAAGTGGACATCCTGCTGCTGGGTGTGGAGGACTTTGAGGTAATTGTTTGCTGTGTGTGTTTACATTCTAAAGTGGGTGCTCGAGGCTCCCCGCATGGCTTGCAGCCCAGCTGGCCAGTCTTCTCACTCACTTGCTTGGCAGCAGTGCCATGCTGAAGATCACAGTCCTGTTGGAAGAGGAGTGGCTCCTGATGCCATCACGGTGGGGAAGGGGTGACACCACATTGCTGGGGAGACCCCCGCCCTGTGCTCCTTGGGTCTCGACGTCCTGTGACTGGTAATCATTGGCTTTGATTCCAGGGTATAGAGAAGGGAGTCAGGAAGGACACAACCAGGACCCTGGGCCCTTCCACAGCCTCGCCTGCCATTCCTGCCCCTGGTAAGTGAGATGCCGACCCTTTGTGCACTGTGTACGCCTGCTTTGTTCTATGCAGCCAGCAGGACCCAAGGCCTGGCACATCCACATTGCCCGGGCCCGCACCTTTAACTGCTGCTGGGGACACCTGCACTCCATGGGAAGATACAGAACATTTGAAAGAAGCTGTTTATTCCTCTGCATGGTGTGGGAGCTGCTCACCAGCTGTTTGTCCCCTGTGCTTGTGTGGATGTTCTCAATTGCCTGAGAGCAGAGGAGAGTTTTAGGCAATGCCTTTCTGGTGCATCTCGAGCTGATGCCTTGTCCACATGCTGTGTGAGCCGACTGGACTCAGCACCACTGAGTGCTTCATGTGGATCTGTATAGGATGATTCTCCTCCCTGACTCCGTGAGCTCAGAAACCCAACACTGACAGTCCAGCTCACCCCTGTGAGCCAGTCATGCCCTGCATCATTGTCATCCTCTTCCTCCTTCTCTTCCCCCACCTCTTCTTCCTCCTTCCCCTCATCCCCTCTCCCTCCTCCCCTCCTACTCTCTCTTCCCCTCTCCGCCCCTCTTCCTCCTCCTCTGTTGAAGATCCATCCAACTGCATTAGTTGTCACGTTTGGTCTTAAATAGGCCAGTGGCTTTTCAGTGGTCCTTTCGTTTAGAGTTGTCTGATTCTTTCCTCGTGGTTAGGCTCCTGGTAAATATTTTCAGCATAAATACCTGTGTGACACTGTGTCCTCCCAGGCCATGGCCTCCACCTGTCCTGCTGGTGCTGACGGGACCCGCTGATTTCTGCTGCAGGGGCCCTCGGTCCTCAAGAGTCCCCAACGAGTCTTCTCCCAGAAAAGCTGCCACCCGTCAGTTTTGGTGTCCAGTGGTGATTACCTGAGTTGGTTACAACCCGGGTCTTTGGTGGCTTTTTTCCTGCAGTTTGGGGCTCTCATGGCCCTTTAAAAATGTGTGTGTTACAGTCGGTGGCCAGCATTCCTCTTGAAGCCCAGGTGGCCCCGCCAGAAGCCACTTCCATGTCCTCTGACACATGTCCCCATCAGTGTGTGAGCACCAGGTCCCCCTAACCCTGGTAGCACATGGCTCTCTTTGCTGGTTGTCACCAACCCCATCACGATGTGCTCCTCTAGTGAGTCATCCAGTCCAGAGAGCTTCAGGGGGTCAGGGACTTAGCTCAGTGGCACAGATGCCTGCTTGGCAAGCACAACGTCCTGAGTTTGAGTCCCAGTACCAAAAAAAAGAGTGAACTTGAGAGTCTAGCTGCCCTCCTCGCTCCTTCCCATGGGTGGCCCTTGTGGTGACAGCCTGGTTCCTACTTTGCTTTGGAAAAGGTCCAGAGGGGAAGAGTGCTCCTTCTGAGGTGAGGGGGCGAGCAGAAATCTAATTCTGATGGCCAAAGACGTAATCTCTGAAAAGTTTGTTCCTGAATAGTTGTGGGTTTTTTGTGTTGTTTAAAAGAAACCTGGCCAGGACCTACCTACGCCGTGTACCTTGCGCATAGCGGTGACTCTGAGTAGTGACACTTTTTTTTTTTTTTTATCGATACCAGGGATCAAACTCATGACCGCCTGCTTGCAAGGCAGGTGCTTATGCCACCAAGCTAAATCCCCAGCCCCAACACTTCTTGACTTGGTGTGCTTTTCTCCCAGGATCTTCCAGTGACGACTCTACAGAGAGCCTCGGGAGCCCGGTGCAGCCAGCTTCTTCCTCCACAGCGGGGGGTCCCCTGTACCCCTGCCCAGCAGACCTGACTGTAGTACCTAGAAGCAACAGTCCCTGGTTCCTGGAGACCAGCAGTTACAGCTGCTTGAGCAGCCAGTCCTTCAAGGCTGCTGATGTTTGCAATGCAACGATCAGCGACCTGTACGCGGGGATGCTGCATTCCATGAGTCGGCTACTAAGCATGAAGCCAGCGTGTGTCATCTCCACCAAGACGTTCACCATGCGGCACTGGGGCTCCAGGAGGAGGCGTCCCCATCGGAGCTGGGCACAGATGAACAGGACGTTCAGCATAGGGGCCAGGCACTCCCGGAGACACGCCAAGAGAAGGCCCTACCCAGAGCCCCAGGGAGAGAGACAAACATTAAGAGACTGCAAGAACTTCCTGCACAAGGCTCGCCACAAGAAGGGTGTAAAGCTGGAAAAACCTTTGCTTGAAGAGAACAAACCCCAGCTCCCGGAATTAGATCCTAGCCGGAAAGAGCTTCCGGTGGTACCCCGGAAGAGTTCCTCCTTGACTTACTTAGGCAACTCAGCACGTCTTGACAGGGAGAAACGACTTATGACATTAAAATGGTTAATTTCACCTGTTAAAATGGTTTCCCAGCCACGAATGCTACAGGGCCATGCAGAGACTCGATACAGTGAGATTGAAACCAGATTCAACAGGCTTCATCGAGAATGCTGCCTGAGTCCTAGGAAGCATCCTCGAGCAGCTGGATGCTTGGACGCCCTGGACGTGTACAGAAGTGGCTGTGTGAGTCCAGGCAGTCCCCAGGCCTTGGAAGCCCACAGGCTGAGGTTTCCTTTCAGCAGAGCGTACCCTAAAAGCTTAAGTGAGACTTTTGAACACTTGGACAAAAGATGGGTCAAAGTGAGTAGATGCCCCCCAAAGGATTCCCTGGCCTCATGTTCACAGTCCCATCTGCCACAAAACACCTGCATTTCTGCCCCAACGTCCAACCTATTCCAAGGACATAATGCTGGAGCCCTCCGAAAGGCAGCATCACCCAGCCAAGCTATTTCAGCACCAGGGACAGATCCTCTAAGCCGTCCAAAGAGCAGCTATGCTGAAATCAAAGCCAGGTTTGACCAGCTTCACCAGAGGATCCTCCAGATGTCACCCCAGCAGGCAAAGGTGCCATCACATGTAGGCATGTGTGGGAATAAAGCCAGCATGGGAGTTTGGTGCCAGACAGGTGACAGCTTCAGAAAATTAAACCTAGACCCGGGCTTCCAGGGGCTCACAAGAAGTCCATGGGGCTCAGTCACTGTTGAGGCTCACGTGTCTGCGGGCACAGCCATGAAGGACCCTCCGGACCCTGCAAAACGACGCAGACTGTGGGAACCCATGGTTTGTGGACTCCAGACCTGGCGAACTGGTCACCCCATCCCAGCCCAGCTGGGAAGGAAGAGCTACGCTTCTGTCTGTCGGCCAGCTCAGGTATGTGAGCAGCATCTCTGGAGGTAGCAGCTTGTTAAGCAGCAGCCTCTGTTTCTGGTTTGTTTTCTGAAGTGTCCAGCCAGGGGTGTAACTCGGGTTCTCGCCCTTAGTAGCAGGTGAGGCCACACCCAGCCCTGTGCCACTTCTGACCACTTCCTGCACCTCTCATGTAAAGGTTCATTTTCCAAGCATCCTCCCTGTTCTTCTCCTTTCTCTAAAATCAACATTTACATCAAGAACATGTTTCTGAGGAAAAATACACCAAGGTGGAACCAGCAATATCCCTGAAGGAGAAAGTCACATATTTTCCATCAGAGTGATGGAGGCCTTTTTTCTCAAGACCTGCACTTGTTCCTCCCTTTTATCTTTGTCCTTTATTTTATGCTCAGAAAATAGGTATGGTGTGGTGAAACGGATCTGCAAATTCTCACCCTGAGCACTTCAGCTTCCCACCTGCAGCGTACACCTCCAGGCCTCACCCCACTCTGCCCATAATTGCAGGCCCTTGGCATAAATCTGCAGAAGCCCTGCCTCTGGCTTTGTGTGTCTGATTCACTTACCCATGTGCATTCAGCAGAGGTAGGGCAAACAGGCCCAGCCCTCTTCCTGTTCCAGGGCCCTGAGGGAGGAATTGGAGGAAAGGACCCTACCTGGGGCCATCCTAGACCCTGGGATGCTGAAGCTGGAGAGTGACGCTCACCCCAGGGGCTGTGTGGATGGCTCCTGCGTGGTGGCTGTCCAGGATGGTATATAACCCAGCGCTGTTTCCTCCTGGCCTTGGTCAGAGTGTATCTCTCTGGCTTCCCCAGGACAAACCAACACCAGGTGACTTCAACTGTGGCTCTTCACTGAGTATAGGGCATGGGTGAGGCCTCCAAGGTCTCTGCCCCTGCCTTGTGGAGGTGACCTTGAGAGCCACAGCCCGCAGTTGTCGCCAGGGTCCCTCCCGGCTCCCTCACCCACACCAGCATCCCCTGATTCTACCCCTCTCTGTTCTCAGACTCCGTGGCCTTTTCCCAAGCCGCCCCTCTCACCTCTGTGCCCTTTACAGCCCTGCAGCCCCTGCACCTGACCAGTCCCCTGTGCTATGCTCAGCTGCCCGACCTTTTACCTCTGCCCTTCCCCTTTGGTGTCCTGCCTCCTGGCACTGCGCCGTCCCACACCTTGAGCAGGTGTCACTGAACCTGAGAGGGGTCACTTGGTTCTCAGTGCCCGGCAGAGCTGGGCACCATGGTGGCAGTCACTGGCCATCACTATAGGTGCATAGGGTAGGGACAAACTCCAGGTACCGTGACTGCATGTGGAAGGTCAGTGGCCAGTTTCAGCTGGACAATGCAGTGGCTTCTGTACAGCTCACCTGGGTCCCCACAAGAACCCCTTGGTAGGACATTTCTACCCTTACTCCTCAGCATCTGCTAACTTGTGATTCACACAGCCAGCGTGAGCTGGGCCAGGTACGTGTGTTGGTAGTGAGGACGGAACCTGAAACCAGACCTTTGCACTGAGCTGTATCCTCAGTCCTATTTTTATTTTATATTTTGAGGCAAGGTCCCACTAAGTTGCCCTCTCTGGGCTTGAACTTCCTGCCTCAGCCTCCTAGAGCGCTAGGAGGCCAGGATTTGAGAGCCCCTAGACTTGTTCACTAGGGTGCCCCTGCCTGGGGTGACAGTCACCTTTGTTTTATTCTAAGGTTCCTCGGTTCTTCATTAATACAATCATATTTTCTAGAATGGACGTGTATATTTGTGAATCTGCAGTGGAATATAAAGCAATTACATCTTTGCTGGCTGGCTTTGCAGCTCTAGTGGAATTTTACTGAAATTTTCTGTGTCTTTTCTTCTAGGAAAAAGAAGAACATAACCTTCAGGACAAAAGAGAAAAGTGATGTCTGTTAGAAGAATTCAAAACTAAGAATGTGTAGCCAGGTTATTTCAGAGCTGTGACCCTCTTGCCTCTTGTTCTCTGCTTTTTGTTTGTATGTTTTTTTGGTTTTTTCCTCCAGAGTCAGTCTTGCTGAGTTACCAGGCTAGTACTCCTCCTCCATATCCTCCTGCCTCAGCTTCCTGTGTATCAAGGTAGTCATGAGTCATAGCACCCAGCTACTCTGTTTTCTTGCCTTACAGTATTGGTGATTGGACCCAGGGCTTCAGGCAAATAAGGCAAGCACTGTACCACTGAGTTACACTTCTAGCTCTTTTTGTTTTAAATGTCAAGAAAGTAGGAGGATATGGTTAATTTTTCCATCCTGAATTTCCAAGCAAATTCAGGATAGTCTCCATCAGATTGAACTTCTGAGCTCACGTTATTAATATGTAGATAAGGTTGCTCAATTTTGGGGGAGAGAGGAGTCTTGCTGTATAGTTCAGACTAGCTTGAATTCACTTTGTAGCCCAAGCTAGCCTCAAACTCCCAGTGGTCCTCCTGCCTCAGCCTCCCAAATGCTGGAATTACAGTCTTGTACCACCGTGCCCAGCTTCAGTGTAAATGTTTAAAGTTAGCTCTTACAGGCGTATTTTCCTTAGGTTTCCTTTTTAAATTTAGACATACTCTGAGAATTCTCCCTTACATTTCCTGTTACATGTTTTTAGAATGTTTGTTTAAAAGCCTACACTTAAACTCTGGACACAGTGATCCTTGAACTCAGATCCCCTGTACAGTTTGCTCCGTATTAGGAATCTGCAGGCCAGAACGAAAACCGACCATCTGGAGTGACAGCTGTTGGTACACTACTCTCTGTTATTTGCATTTTTTTTTTCAATAAAAGGTTAAAGCTACAAAACAGTTACACACTTTTCACCCCCACCCCCCAGCGATTCGCTCCTGGTGTGCCCCTCCCCGTGTCACTCCGTGTCGTCAGGATCATGTTAACAGAGCTTCTGAGTCAGCTCAGGATGCAGGAGCAGCTACCAGAGGGTCCACACAGAGATTCATTAGCTCAGTCCTAAGCCAATAGCCAGAGTTTGGGCGGGCGGGGACATCCTTGCAGGCCTGTGGACAGCTGTGCCAGCGGGAAGGAGGGAGGGACAGAAGGGCCTTCCTGGGGCCTCCTAAGAACATTGGGTCCATCCCCTGGCCCTGCCCTCCCAAAGTGCCCTCTTCCAGCCCCACCAGTCTGATCAGGGTGTCCCACCCTGTGCTGAGTGGCACCAGTCAGTCTGCAGGGAACATCCTGGCCCAGAGGCTCACCTTGGTCTCAGGACGGGCTGGCAATGAACACTGGCGCAGGGTGGCCCCTGGTTCTAGACCTTTCCTTGGGGCTCCTGCTTCCTGGGTCACAACCCACCCTCTATCAGAAACCCATTCTGGCCAGGGTATGCCATTTCCAGTATTGATGCTCTGTCCTGCAGTGCAGGAAGTGGTTGGTGGGGGTTTTAGCCACTCTGCTAATAAGGGACCCATCAGCTATAGTAAGCATTGCTTTTAACTTGCACTTAAGTCACAACACCGTGGATTCTGCAGCTTTGCCAGCTTTGCTTCCCTAAGAGGGTTTGCATTGGACAAGAACCAGCATACGTGTGTGCTGCGGTTTGAAGATGTACCCCTGAGGTATGAGTTGGAAGTAAGGTCCCCAGGGTGCTGGTATGGAGGTGCTATGGGCCCTAAGAGATGGGACCTCATGAGCAAAGCCAGTGCCACAAATGGTGAGCTAAGTAAACCTTTATAAAGTCAACTTGCCTCAGGTATTTTGTGATAGTAGAACGAATTCTCTCATCTAAAGAGTCCCCTGTAGGTAGTTCACTCCCATATCCTGCGTGTCTGGGTAGGAGCATGTGGGCCATGATGCCGACACCCAGAGGAAGGTTGTGGTCACAGATAGTGCATCTGCAGCTTGGGGGTTGCCTTCCTGAGGTCTCCCTGTGTGCTCTGTCCAGCATAAGGAGTCACCATTTCATGTTGCTGCCTCTGAGGCTGGTGCCACCGTGGTGGCTGTGAACTTACAGCACAGTTTACTGTCGCTCCCCACCCTGAGGTCCACAATGTCTTCCTGGGGGCCCTGGCTTTCCCAGCCTCTTCAGAATGCTGCTCTGTTTCCTCTTGTTTGCTTTGGATCTATCTGTGTGAGCCAATCCACTTTTATATCTACTGAAAATAAGTTCAACCTATGATTTGTTGTTTAACTTTCTGGCATTTTATCATCCAGAAATTATGCTTTTCCACAGCCAGAAAGCGTATTCCTTTACTTTTGCTGGCTGCTGTTAGCTTTTCAAGACCAGGGCCAAAGCCCCGCTGTTTCTGTTTAGTCCGGGAGCCATGCAGGTGCGGGGACCCTGGCTACACAAATGTGTGCGTGTACCAGCTGCAGCAGGGCTTCTCAGCTCAGCTCATCGGCTGGCAGGAAACAGTTCCACTGTTTGTTCCCTAAGAGCTGCACAGCAGCTCCAACAGCGTCTAGAGAAGCCAACAGCGTCTAGAGTGGAGGCTGAGTAAGCAGCCCCCGTCCTTTGAGGGGACCCCTGGATGCTGCCTTTAGTGACTGCACGGGGACAGCTGGCAACTAGACTATTCTGTTGATGGCTTTAGCGTAGGAAAATCTCTTACTTGCTCCTCCTCCCTTTTATCCCGCCATGGTTTCTTGGACATGGGGCTCATTTCTCCTCTTCAACCTGCTGCCAAATTCTGCTCACCCTCACTGGCAGCCCAAACATGCTTTGGTAACCTGAAGCTTCCACGAGAAGGGTCAGAGTGGACCTTGTATAGACCTTGTTGCCTCTGAGGCCCACTAGGATTGTCCCCAAGTGGAGGGATGCCCTGCTCTGGGGCTGCTACTGGACTCCATCCCAGGGTCATGGTCAGTGGGTACACATCTGGCTTTTCCTTTAGGAATGAGGTCCCGAGGGAGAGGCTGGACAGCAGATCGCCTGCCTGGCTGCCTGGGGCGGACACACACTCAGCATGTGTGAGAAAGCCAGGAAGGCTCAGATCACCAGGGCTGAATGCGGCCCAGCACACACCCTGGGGCAAAGCGAAAAGGAAGTGACCTGAGAAGGCTGAGGCTCCTCTTCCCCTGTGTCTTGGACGCCATTCCCTCAGTGAGGACACTGAAGTCCAGTGGCAATGCAGGTTTATTTTAGCAGGAGAAAAGAAAAGCCTGATGATTGTTCTACAAAGTTTTTCTTCAAAACTAAATTTAAAAAGGCTTGCATTGCCGTGGAAAGGGGCAGCACTCAGGAGGCAAACAGCTCACATGTGGGCCACTAGGATACTCCGGGCAAAGCCGGCAGCCAGGACCGACTGCAGCTGTCCAGAACTTTGAGAGTCTCCAGGGCTGCCCTCCTGACGCCAGGGTCCGAGTCCAGCTGCAGCTCCTGGAGAGCTGAGAGCAGAGAGGTGGGGGTCAGCCTTCACCCGGGCACACGAACCCCGTGTGCAGTGCCCCTGATGCAGGTAGAGGCAGGATGCCATCAGGCCAGGCCACCCTGCACCCTCCTGGATGCAAGGCCAAAAGTCAGCAGGTGGAGTTGTGCCCCACACTCATCACAGACCCCCATCCCAGGACTGAAGTCCCCACTAAGGGACAGAGAGGCCCCCCACAGAACCTGAGTGCAGAACCCTGGTGGAAGCAGCTCAAGCTGAAAAGGGGGAAACAATACAGGGAATGAAATAGACTCTACCCACCCAATAGATGGCTTCCTGCAAAGCCTTCCCCAGGTGCATCTATTGCTCCCCTAAAGTAGCCCTCAGCAGGGTCACCTGGGCTGGACCTTGGGCCAGACTTACAATTCCGTAAGGCTGGCAGGTCCAGCTTCTTCACATAATGGGCAGGCAGCTGCTTCATAATAATTCCTAAGATAAGAGCCAAGGAAGCATTTGTGGCACAAATACTAAGTCCACAGCAGATCATGCAATTACCCTCACTGCTAGAGACACCAGTGGATGGTACTGAGCCAAAGTTAGCGCGGAGAAAGCCAAGGCCAGGCAGGTGTGAGATTTGGTGGGACGGGGCAGCATGCATTAGCGAGGCCCAGCTCTCACCAGCAGTGTGCTATTGCACGTCCGGGGTTGACCAGGTAGCTGTCAAGGTTCGCCCTGCGTTAAACACCATCCCCTCACTTACCTGCCAAGTTGCAGGCAACGATCCTGATCCTTGACAAGTGATTTTTAATGTAGCTCATTGTTTCCAGCAGGAAGCCGTAGAGAACAGCAGGCTTTTTCTGAGTCTGCAAAATGTAAAGGACACACAGAGCTTTGCAGGATGAGATCCCAAGGACACTCGAGGTTCACAGACTTATTTCCACAACTTTGCTCGCAAATCAAATCAAATTTCCCCAGAAGATTAACACTGAACCCAAACACTGAATGTGATTCCCTTTGGTAGCAATTCAGTTTATGACCAGAATCATGGGAAGAATTAAGTTCATAAACTGAGGTACCACTACATGCAAAATGATCATGTCTTGATTATACTGAGTTACGTAAAATATATTAGCAAAATTATGTCTGCCTCTTTCCACTTTTCAGAATGTCACAAATTGGGCATCTATGAGGGGGACATCAGCCATGAGGAAGAGCTCTGAGGCAATTCCCTCCCCTCCAAGCCAGACCAGCCCAGCGCCCTCGGCCCCCTCACCAGGATGGAGCACATGTTGGTCTGGAAAATGGTCATCTTGTCATCATCAGTGCCAGAGTCGCTATACCCCAGGGGGCTCTCCAGGGACTTCCAGCCCCAGAAGTGCACACACTGAAGCATAGTAGCCTCACAGGCCTGGAGGGGACACAGGATGGCAGGAGAGGTGTCATCGAGCAAGATGCTCAACAGCCCTGGTGTGAGGGTTGAGCTGTGCAAAGCCAAAGCAGCCCCGGGGACCCTGGAGCCAGAGAAGGGCAGGGCCAGGGCTCACATCAAACACCATGTATGTTTATAAAAAGCCTCTGCCCAACGTGTCCCCCTACCCCATCCAGCACCTCTGGGCCCTCAGTATCCCTGAGGAGATAGGAGTCCAGCTGGGGTGGGAAGGACTGGGGTGACTTCCTGGCCACCTGGCCCTGTCTCCACCTTCCTGCACTGCACCCCAGCCCCTGTGGCAGGAGGAGAGGGGTGGATCCCTAAGGAGGGGGTGCAGTGCCCTAACTGCCTTGCAGCCCCATCCTTCAGCTCTCTGTTACCATTCCCAGAAGTGACCCCCAGGGGACTGCCCTGGAGGGAGCGGTGCAGACCTGCATTGGATGCTGGTGTGGATTTCCAAGAGAAAGGAGCCTGAGGGCTGATGCCCCATGCCCAGGGTGACTGGGACCATGCAGCAGAGCCCAGGCAGATAGTCAAGCCTGAGTCAGGGGAGTGCATGGTAGGATGCCCCCCAACTCAGCAAGTACCACCTGGAAAACTCCAGCCCACTCCCACCCAGAAAGCCCTAGTCCTTACAAAAATGGCATTGAGGGACTTGTGACCCAGAAGAGGGGACCAGAGGCACTAGAGAAAGAGGACAGTTCATTCTGCCTGGTAGGGGGCCAGATGACCCCCTTATAAGAAGGGACACCCCAGTTATCTGTGGGGAACAGAAGAAACAGCTGGGGTCCTGGATCATGTGGGCTGTGCAGAGCCTGGTGAGCAGCCCGCACAGGGCTCTCTGCAGCCCACAGCTGGCCACTGCCACCACAAGGGGCTGAGGCCTACGAGGAGCTTGAGACCTCTCCCTTCTGCCTCCACAGTGGGCCTTGAAGAGGGGAGCAGCTGGCCAGGCCTGCATCCCAGACTCCTCATAGCCCCAAAGTGGGTCCAGCCCTCAGTGAGCAGGAGGGGAGAACTAAGGTGAGCTTTAATGAACCAAGTCCTGATGCCGGAAGTGACCAACCATGCACAGAAACATGCTGTAAGAAGAGACGCTGGGCAGAAGCTGGCTGTGGGCAGCAAGGGACAGAGCCAGAGGAAACCACACCACGGCTCCCCACAGCACTGAAGGTCCCTAACCCAGCCTCTGCTGTCCCCATCCCCACCCTGCACGAGGGATGGGGTGGTCACAGAGCTCCTGCAGGAGACTGAGGTAGGGACAGGCAGTGGCCTGGGCCCAGAGGACCTTTTCCTTTGGGTGACCCAGACCTGGGCTGTGCTGGAGCAGGGGTCCTGGCAGTGCAGCAGGAGGGGCACCCAGGCTTTCTTCACTTCCTCCTTGAAGAAGTGCTTCCTGGCGATCCCGACCACCTTGGCCAGCTTCCCAAAGAGGACAAAAGCCTTCTCCCGGAGCAGCTCGCTCTCCTGTGGCCGAGATGCACAAAAGTGCTATTGTTCCCAAGGCAGATAATCAGTAAAAGCCCTCCAGGAACCACTTCCAACACCTTGGCTCCTGTGGAGTCTGCCAGGCCATCCTACCAGGGTCACCTCTCTCCTTTGCTGGGCTCTTGGCGGCCCAGTGGGAGGGGCATGGCTCTGATCTCTGGGGCCCCTGTTCCCTGTGTAAGGGCTTGCTGCGGGGATCTGAACACATAACCCTGAGTCCTGAAGTCACATGCTGCAGGTGTCCCTGGAGCATGTGAGGCTGAAACAGGACACTCTTTCCCTTCTAGCACAGCAGAGGCCACCACTGCTTCAGTCCCACAGCACTGATGCCCTGGAACTTAGGGCCACACTGGATTTTCCACAGGACCCCGAGGCCAGCCAGCCAGTCCATGCATCTGTGGCTATAGCCACAATGCGGCAGCTCTTATCCACACTCACGTTGTCAAAGAAGAGCCTGCACTGCCCAGAGATGGCTTTGAAAGAAGAAGAGCCCACATCCCCCTCTCGGAGCTGGGCCAGGACTTTGGTCAGGGCCTCCATGCCCTCCACGATCACCCTGCTGCCAGTGGCCACCCGAAGGGAATCCAGGCACCGCTCTAGCAGGAGTTTCCGGTACTGCTTCACCTGGAGGGGAGTGGGCAGCTCAGCCTCGGCCCTGCCTGTCCTGGCCATCCGCAGCCCCCGGGACCTGAGCCAGTTTCATACCTTTCGGGGTGCACCGATGGCCATGTTGCCCAGGGCACGCAGGGACAGCACCTGCAGAGCCTCATCCTCCTGCTGCCCCGTGCCCCGCTCCAGCATCAGCACCGCCGGCCTCAGCAGCTTCTCCTGGTGCAGAACTGGGAGGCTCATGAACTAGAAAGGAGGACACTGCTCAGTGAGCCCGGAAGGAGGCCTGTTTCTCAGCAACCAGGCGGGGTGGGGTCAGAAGCCACTCCCAGAACGGTGGCTCTGGGTGCAGAAGGGGTGGGGGAAATGCAGTGCCTCAGTTTCCCATCTGTACAAAAGGGATGATTCTCCTGCCTGCCTCCGAGGATTCAGTAAGGAAATATACGAGAAGTGCTTGGTGACCGTGACCTGCAAGTTCTTTTGTCACTGATTTCTCCAGTGTACTAGAGTCATCCACCCGCACGTGGGAACAGATGTGCACAAGCTGAACTCATGGGAGACGCCCTCACAGTCTAGGATGCAGGGTGCTCAGACCTCAGGCTCAGGGAACCCCCTGAAGCCTGTGTGTTTAAAAAGACTGAAGAAAAAAAATGCCTGGTGTGGTGGTGCGTACCTGTGGTCCGGGCACTCAAGAGGCTGAGGGAGGAGGATTGCAAGTTTGAGCCCAGCCTGGGCCACTTAGCAATTTATTGAGACCCTGTCTCAAGACATATAAAGAGGGCTGGGGATGCCTGTAATTCAGTGCCAAGGCCCCAGGTTCAGCCCACAGGGGTACAAAAAGAAAAACAAAGGAGGGAGGGAGGGAAGGAGGAGGAAAGGCAGGAGATGAACACCACATCGCTGGCTCTGGGCAGCAGGAGGGGCAGCTAGGTTAGTGGCCACCAGGTGTCTGTCCAGTTTCTTGGGTGCCCATAGGCTTCCCCACCCTCCCAGTGCTCTGTGCCTGCTCCGCTTCTCCTCCAGTGCATCTGAGACCCCAGCATGCACAGCCCTGCGAGCTTCCCTCAGCTCCACAGGCCCCGAGACTCATGCCACGCTCCTGTGAAGGGACAGGAATAGGGCTGGGCAGTGAATAATGACCACACGCCACTGAAAAAGCCCTTCCCACAGTGCTAAGCCCAAACTTCCCTGACGAAAAAAAAACAAAAGAAAAAAGCATAATGTGTTCAGTCCTATCATCTTGGAAAGAATTTAGATAGATGACTTCCTTTTTAGAAGCAGATGCTAGCTTTTAAGCAGCAATAATCAGCATTTGGCAAGCGTCTACCACACAGCCACACCGTGTGTGTTACCTTACTTCATTCTCACCTGGCCCCTGCAGTGGGTTCTGCCATCCACGCCTCAGCACACATGAGGCTGGAACCTTAAGGAACTGCACAGAGAAGCCAGGTCCTCAACAAGCCCTGTGATTCCAGCCCTTTGACCTGGCCACTGTGCTATGCTGGCTTCTGACCCCTTAGAGTTGTAAATGTCTCCTCACTGTCTCTTTGGGGATTTGCAAAGAGCAGAGGACTTGAAAAAACCTGGCCAACATGGATGTCCTTGGTTTGTCTTGCCCTGGGCCAGGAGGTTTTGAACAGTCCAAAGAGTCACTTTCACATTTTAAGTGGTGGAAAAAAATATGAAAAAGGACATTTGTGACTCATGGGTATCACATGACAGCCAGAATGTCAGCCTCCAGCAGTGAGGTCTCAGCGGAACCCAGGCTGTTGCTTGGTTCTTGCCACACAGTGGGACCTCAGGCAGATGACAGGGTTTATCCTGGAAGTTCTCGGGGAACATCCTCAGCCCAAGGCAGAGTGGTTGGGCCTCGGCAGCCACGACACAGGCCCCACCTTCACACCTGGCAAGGCTGTGCCCCCTTGCAGCACTCTCCTGCAGTACCCTCCTCAGGGTCCCCATTTTCTCAGTGTCCCCAAAGGGCGTGCCCTGCATACCCTGCTGATGAATGAAGGAATGAAGGAGCACAGGATGGAGGGAACAGGGGCCCCCTAGGGACTGGGCACTTCCCCCAAGGGGAGCCATCCCCACTGCCACCGCACCCCACCCCAGCCAGGTGCCTCACTTCCACACAGGCCGCTGCGCAGCTGATCCGACAGCTCAGCGCTTCCGAGCCCAGGCCCCTGAGCACCAGCTTCAGCAGCCGCTGCCTGCAGCCCACCTCACTCTGCACGCACAGCCTGTGGGGGACAAACAGTGCAATGGTGCAGGGAAGTGGGCCCGGTGCCTGCCTACTATTTGGAACCCAGCTCCAGCTTGCACAGTGATGGTGAGCAGATCTCTGAACATTGCTAGGTCACTCCTACTTGGGGCATCATGGTGGTGGGGGTCAATGAGAGCCTCACTTTCTTCCTACTGCTTTTTATAACAGGCAGGGTAGAGGCCTGAGGAGTGACTGCCCATCCAGGCCCTGCAGGAGCCCTGTGCACAGAGCCTTGGACAAGCCCCTCTTCCCTCTGGCCTCACATCTCCACTTCTAAAGCCCAAAGGTGGATCTATGTGGCAGCGCCATTCTCAGGAGCCTTCTGTGGAGCAGAGGATACCTCTGCACACTCGTATTCTGTGAAAGCCTGGGCCCCACCTGGCCAGCAGGCTGACTCCGTCCAGGAAGGTAGCGCCGCTCTCCAGTTGACCCCACACCAACTGCTCCTCCAGGGTGCACGCCAGGCCCTCGCTGCTGAGTCTCTCAAACAGAAGCTGCATGCATTGGATGGTGACCCTAGGAGGAGGTAGGTGCGCAGTGCTGGGCAGGTAAAAGACCTGAGGGGGCTGTCATGGGAGCATGTGTCTGCCAATTCTCAAAACCACATCATGCCAGACACATGTGAGGGAGGGCTGTAAACAGAATCTGCTTCCAGAAACTTTTCCACCAGGAGGGGACAAGCAGGGCCCCCTGGGGGAAGTGACTCGTGGAGCCCAAGAGCTTCCAAGGGACAGCTGGTGGCCAGGTCCAGTGAGTGTCAGCAGCCTTGCACTCTATGGTCCCCTCCCACCTGCTGGTTCTCTGAGCACCTCTGCAGGGTCAGCTCCTCGGGCAGGGTCCCCATGTGGACCAGTCTCCAGGTCTTTAGGACAGATGAGGTGGCCTCAGGCCTGTGGCTGCAGCTGAGCTGCATCAGGAAGGTATAGACGAGGTCAGGGAACAGGTCCAGCAGCTTGTCGTCTTTGTCCACATTCTCGATAAGGAAGAACACGGCACACAAGGTCTACAGAGAGAAGGGTCAGGCATCAGGGCCCTGACCCTGAGCCCCCTAAGGAGCCCCAGGCTGCCCCAAGACTCACCATCAGAGGATCCACTGCAGCCAGGCGCCAGACATCAGTCTTGGAGGTGACCTGCACCCTGGGTGTGAACTGCGTCTGCAGCCGGCCCATCAGGCCACGCAGCATGCTCCGTGCAAAGGGCATGTTCTCCGCCACGGCCAGCCACACCTCCTTCAGGTGGCTTTAGAAAACAAGCACAGAGGCTATGGGTTCCTTGTCACACCCCTTGGCAGGTTATGACCCCTCTATCCACCCCTCAGTAGCCCTCTAAAGAGGGGTTAAACTCTGGGAGCTGAATCTAGGAGCAGTCAGATGGCATGAGCCACCAAAGGCAGCATAATAAGACCCATGTCCCTGATGCTACTTGCTGGACATTCAGAACTTAAGAAACCCAGATGCCACCACCATGTGGTGAAGCTATGAAGCGCTGGACTCAAGGCCAGTGGTTCACCAGATGCTGGGACCTCCTACCTGAGATGCAGGTGGAAAACTTTGTCTTGGTGGGACCAGGTCCTGCCCCCAAGCTGTACCGCCCATGCCCACCTCTTCCATGGTGCCCACCTCTGCATGGGCAGAGGCTGTCTAAGTAGTGATGTGAGGACTGTCTCCTGGTGGTAATGTGCCAGCAGGAGGATGCCTTCAATGAGAAGATGCCGCACCTCCAGGTGATCCACCGCAGGTAGGTGCACCAGGATGGCACCCAAGATGTCAGCCACCTGTGGGGCCAGAAGTCACCTGTGGAGGGCAGAGGACACCACTCCTCCAGGGAGGACCTTGGGCAGGTTAAACCAGCAGCACCCTTTCTCCCACATTGGTTGCTCTCTTCCTCGGATTCCTTGGTGCCTCTGGGCCCCTGTCCACGTACTAACCAGGCTATACTTCAGCACAGGGCTTCCTTGTTATAGAACTCTAATTCCTGCTCCTTTTGAGCACTCAGAGCTTGGAAGAAGTGACTCCAGTGAGTATGGTGGGCCCATGGTCAGGGTGCCCTGGGCAGCCCCAGCCCCACCCCTAGGAGGCCCTGCTGGGCTCTGCCACCTTGTCATCTAGCTCCTTGACCCGCATTTGGAGGAAGGTGCCTATCCAGGTGACGGCAGCCTTGTCATGCTGCAGTTCCATGGCCCCGATGTTCTCACAGAGCTTCTGGATGAGTGAGACCACCTCGTCACAATTAAACTCCATGCAGACCACCTAGGACCATAGCAAAGCCGAGTCACAGCCTCCTCGGGGGGCTGCCTGTCCTGCCTGTTGCTGTCTTGACAGTGGGGCTGCTCTGGCCTCACCCCTGTGTCTTAGAGGGCTCCCACTGGCTGACAGGTTCTGGCTCAGTTGGTTTCCAAGGCCTCCATGGTGCACCCAGGCCTCTCCCACTCTTCAGTGCTGTCCTTAACCTGCCTGAACCCGCCTAAGACACTGCACCCCAAACTCTCCCTGTCCTCTCTCCTCTTGCCTCCAGCCTGTGTGTCCCGAGCCCCAACACCCTCTGACCTTCTCTTACCACTCTGCAAGGTCCCCTTTGCACCAGGAAGCTGCCTCCACCCCTGAGACAGAGGTGACCTCATTACCCCACAAAGTCTCAACCCCTGTTCGAGAGGCCCTGGGCACTCTGGCTCATCACTGGGCCATCAGTGTGACCATGTGCCAGTGCTGGTATGAAGAGCTGCTGGATCATTCAATACCCACTCTGTGTTCAGTGTAATATATCATAGGGACCAGGAAGAGCCAGCGGAGTGTTGGGCGCCTACACTGTGCTGGGCACCCCTGTGGGACTCTGACTCACTGCAAGACATTTCCGTCAAGATGTACCAGTTTAACAGAAGCCAGAGAAGCTGCAACCCCCAGAGGAAAACTGCAGCCAGCTGAGGAAAGCCCAGCCCTCCAGGCATGGCCCGGGGTCTGGAGACCAGCCATTACCTTGGCGATTCTGGAGGACGCACAGAAAATCTTCTCCTCGTCCGTGCTCAGCAGGTCCTCCTTACATTTCTGCAGCTCATTTTCCTTGGCAGTGCCCCATAAGGAGCAGGTCTGGCTTGCTATTGGGGATACACTTTCAGATGTCATCAGCAGGACAGAGGCCTTTGTTTGGGCCTCTTCATGGCGACTTCCTGCCCTGGCTCGGCAAGCATGAGTCACCCTCCAGCATCTGCACCTCCATCCCTCTATCCCTCTGCTCCCACAGTGCCTTCTCCATAGTGCAAATCTGCCTGAGTACCTCTCACACAAACCAGACCTTTACCCTGGCCAGTTCTGCCACAGTCTTGGTACCTGCAAGAGGACCTTATCCCGGGGCTCTCAGTGCCAAGCACAAGCCCTTGGTGAATCAATCTGAACCAAGCAGACTCTCCTTTCAGAGGCTTCCATGGCCTCTTGGTGATGCCTCGGGCACCCTAATGCCACCCTCCCTTCCATCCCACCTGCCCCATACCATGAAGATCTAGCAGGCTGGACAGGACATTAGTTGAGGTCATGCGGGTTCTTCGGTGGGCATCACAGGTACACGGGGCGATGAGTCCCACCAGAGTGCCAAACTGGCCAAGCTTCAGGGGGATCTGAGAATCAGGAGACATGTGCACTCACCCCTCCTAACTCCCGTGCATGCCTGGGCCAAGCAGAGAGGGCACGTCCCACTTTGCCCACCTGCCCCTGGGCAGGGAAGGCTTCTGGATCTGCCTGAAGCCCACGTGACACTGTCCCTGCTCCTCAGCTGGACCTTAGAGCCCATCAGCTAGCATCTGACAGGTCAGCTCTGTTCCGATGACCAGAGAAAGCTTGGGTCTGGTTTCTATGTCTAGGCATCTGCTTCTTCCTGTAGCTGAGCCCTGTTCCACCATGGGTTTACCTGCTTGCTACCTGAGTGACCTAAGCAGGGACTTCACCTCTCAGTCTCTAGTGACACCTGTCTCTAAAGTGGAGATGGTGACAGCACCTCCTCTTTCAGGGAAGGCAGTAGAATTGGCACAGAGAATCCAGGAAATGTGCCCTACACAGCACCTGGTCTCTACCGCCCCTTTGCACTGGTCCAGGCTCCCGCCTCATTGAACTGGGCCTTCTTCCCACCTCCATCATGTGTGCTGGGGGCTCACTGTTGCCACCCCAAGACCCGGGGCTGTCCCCAGATTCCAGATGAACACCACCATCCTCCTGCCCACAGCTGAGGACAAGGCTGTCAGAGCATGGAGTCAATAAGTGATGGAAAAGCGGTCTGTGCCTGCCGGTTCATCAAGAAAAATAACTCTTTTAGTTCTTCTAGACTTTGTGATGCTGTGTTAGGTACCAAGCTTTGTAAAATTCGTAACTTCATGGTGGTTCATTTTTGCATTCTGAGTATCCATTCTAATGTGATATTCATAATTATGTGTTCCAATGTGTTTTGTTTATTTGCTTGCTTTGATTTGATTTACTGGTGTACTGGAGATTGAGCCCAGGTCCTTCACGATGAGCACCATCCCCAGCCCCTTTTGTTCTTTAATTTGAGATAAGCTCTCATTAAATTCCCAAGTTACCCAGAAGGACTCAAACTTGTAATCCTCCTGCCTCAGCTTCCCACAGTGCTGGGATCACAGACATGCACCATCATGCGCGTCTATTCCACTGCATGAGCCTCAGATCCTACCAAGCTGGGTCCACCCTGAGCCACCATCCTGTCATATCCTCCCTCACCCCCTAGGAACCCCAGCCCCTGGATCATCACAGCCTCTCCCCAAGGGACTCTCTGGGGTAGAGCCTGATTTCAAGTGTCCCCTGTTCCCTCACATGGAGAGGACTTCTCCTGGAGATCAGGGTGGCAGGTGGGGTCAGGTGCTCCTGGACTCACACAGACACCGATGCTCTGCATGTAGATCTCCATGAGGCGGAGATGGAGTTTCATGGCTTTCTCCCGCTCCCATTCTTTCTCTGACAAGATCCACTTCTCCAGGAGCTATGGGTGGAGCCCAGAACACAGAAGTAGACAGTGAATCAGGGGGACCAGCCCCATCCTGCCAGCTTCTGCACTCCTTGTCTCTCCCATCCAGGGTTTGACTTTCAAGGCCTCTGCCTGGTCCTAGACCCTCTGGCTTTCTTCTCTGGCCTTCCCAGGAGAGGAGATGGGACTATGGGCAGAGAGAGAGATCCCTAGCATTCTCACTCGGATGGTGAATGGCTGCTATGTTTCTGCCCACGATGAGAGCCAGGAGCACAGACAACCTGCACTCCAGGTGGCACTGGGGGCCATTCTAACATCAAAGTCCATTTCAGAGTATAAAATGTGTGTGCTAACTTTTGGATATTAAATGTCCCCCAAAAGGCTATGTATTAAAAGCTGGGCCACCAGCTTATGGTTACTGGGCGGTAATTAGGAGGTGGAGCCTTGTGGGAGGACGTTAGGTCAATGACAGTTGCTCTGGAAGAGGACACTGGGACCCAGTTCCTCTTTGCTTTTGGGCCACCATGAGGTGAGCAGATTCTGCTACCAGGTGTCCCACCATGATGTGCTCCCAGCCAAACAATGGAGCCCGCTGACCATGAACTGAACCCTCTGAAATCATGAGTCAAAATAAGCCATGTTTTATCACTTGCTGCTTTTACTGCCTCCTGCCTGCCCTTTGAATAGGAATCATGGGTTCTAACTTGGCAGTAGAGTGACCTTAAATTTCCTGATTTCGATCACTGGATTCTTGTAAGAGATTGATTTTTGATGTCTGCAATTAATTTCTCATGCTTCCGAAGATGTTTGTGTACGTGTGCCTGCACCTGTGTGTATGCCTGTGTGTGCATGTATGTACAATGAGAAAGAGAAAGAGGGAAATATTAAAAGAAAATATGGTAAAGTGGAAAAAATTATGAATCTGGGCAAAGAGCATCGTTGTATGCTTCTTGTAGTTTTTCAACAAATTTGAAATATAATCAAAAGAATGTTAGTACCACTCATTCACACATTTGTCTGTTCCAGCAGCCTGGCTCTCAGGCCCACTTCTTAGGAGGGGTGGCCATCCCTAGCTTCACACAACTCACGTGCACCATCTCTTGCAGTCCCTTAGGGTCCAGCTGTCTCTGCAGGAGGCCCTCCATCAACCCCTCCAGGGAGCGCAGGGTGTTCGTATACAGGGTCTATGGCCAAGAGATGCAGAGACAGAGAGCTGGACATCCATGAGTGGCACACAGGGTCACCCACCAGGACTCTGCAGGTGTCTAGGTGGCCTGAAGCTCACCCATAGCTGCAGCTTAGTTTTTGTGCCCTATGCTCATCTTTACATATGACGTACAAGACAACCTTTCAGGAGGAAAGGTTACACAAAACAATAGCCCAGCTCTCCTGACCCCTCATCCAGGGCCAGACTCTTGAGGGATAGGGTCCCCTCATGTCCATCAGCATTTGTTTCCCACTGGCATAGTGCTGCTGGGAAACAGTCATCCAAGCTGACATCCTGCATCTAGGGACCCATGTGACTGGGTGGTGGCCTATGGGAGGAGGGCACATGGCACATGACTCTTGCTTACAGTTTCTCTCCCTCCCTCCTGGCTAGATGTCATCGCCCAAGCCACGTTAGGATCTTTACACTGAAGGTGGGGTGTGCTGTCAGCTCTACACCCTCCCCACTCACCCCTGGACTTTACTGAGATGAGAAACCAACTTTTATCTGTGTTATGGCTTAGATCTAGAAATGTTCCTCCAAAGTCTCATGGATTCAGAGGTGGGACCTTTGAAAGGTGATTGGGTTATGGGGACACTGTGCTTATCAATGGATTAATCTACTGATGAGCTCATGGACTATTAGGAGATGGGGCATGGCTGGAGGAGGGTCATTGGGAGTGCAACCCGGAAGGGTGCATTCTTGTCTATGGCTCCTTTTTTCTCTGGGCTTCCTGGATGTCATGGAGGAGTAGCTCTCCTCTGTTGAGAGGAGAGCTGCTTGTGCCCCCAAGCCAGCCAGCCATGGACTGAAACACCAAGTCATGAGCCAAATTAAAGCTCCCCTCCCCTTCTGCAAGTTGTGGGTGTCAGATATTTTGTCCCAACAATGGAAAATGACTAATATTTCTAAGTTTCAGTGTTTATCTGTTATAGCAGTCAGCATCACCTCACACTTACTAATAGAACCCACAACACACTGCTGCCTGTAACAACTCACAGGTGGTTTGGGAAGGCAGAATCTACCCATGTCCATTAAACTTCCAAGTCCACACACGGGCATGTGCCTCAGAAAGTGAGGCGGGCCCGAGGGACATACCTTAATGGACTCATTGTCCTCTCCTGGAGGCTGGAGAGAAATTACAGAATGGATACTGATCTCCATCAGCTCGCTGCTCTCCTCCATGGAGTAGAAAGGCTTCAGTTTGCTGGAGAAAGAGGAAAGGTCAAGAGGAGTTGAGCCTTTGCCAACTTCTGACCAGTCTGGACACAAAGGTGAATCACAGCCAACTTCCTGTTTGTGGGTTCAGGTAATGCATCCCTGCCTAGGGCCCGACTCTGCCTGGCCACAAGTATCCAGTGATCCACCTGGGACTAAGGAACAGATTCAGAGGTATCCAGTGCTCCACCTGGGACTAAGGAACAGATTCAGAGGCACAAGGCCACCTCTCCCACTTGCTGCCACATACTCCAATGACTCTCCCCCACTCACAGCCATGCATCTGCCCTCCCAGGCTGCTCCTGGTTCAGGATTGTCAGAGCACTGTACCTGGATCACCAGCACAAGCTTGGAGTAATGAGCAGTGTCAGTTTTACAGTGCTGCTTCTGACCTTTTCAGTCAAAACCTCTGCGGGACTGTCCCTGCCATCCACATTTCAATAAACCCTCCAGGGGTGGTTGCTAGGTGGGCGGTGTGTGCTAGCTCACTCTCTGCCTATGTCATCAATAGTTCTGGGGCCTCACTGCTTATCACGATCACCTGGAGAACTTCCCACAGACTCCCCCAGGCCCATGGCTAAGTTTAGATTTCTAAGTTCCCCAGTGGTTCTATTGTGACCCAAATCTGAGAGACACCATCCTACCTTACTGGAAGCTTCTGCCACCTAATCATGTCTTGTTCCTCACCCTCCAGAAAGATCCGCACTCCTAACCAAACCTAGTCATCATGTGTGTTCAGGTCCAAAGTCAAGGTGCTGACACCAATACCAAATAGTTTTGGCAGCTGCTATTGTACAGAAACTGAATTACATTTATCTAGTCACCTCCTTTTTGAGTTTCTTTCTGCTCACCTACAAATGCATTCCTCCTGATGATGTGTGGCATATATTTCTGTTTGTATGCATTCATCTTTTCTTCACGTCCCTGAAAGGCTGGGGTCAGGACTTGCCTGGCAACTCAACTGAGGCTTGTGAAACATATCTGGAATCTGACCTTGTGTCACCACTTAAAGTACTGCGTAGCTCTGCTAAGTCCCTAACTAACATCCATCTCCGGGCAGATGAAGATGATCTGACCATTTGAAGCACTCACTTCACAGATCCCTGACTTCTACCCCTCTTCCCTCCCTTCCAATGGACTCCAGGAGTATAAGCCTCGGGCACTGTACTACCTTACACAGGCTCTAACAATCCAAAGCATTCAGTCTCCCCACAATGCCTCTCAGCATCATGATTTCTTGCTCAAAATATCCCACCTCATGGACCCAGAACATCCCACACACTTGCCATGTGCCTCTCTATACAAGAGGAGCAGCCAGCTTAAGAGGCTGGAAGGGAGCAGACCCCATCTTCTACATTGCCCACAGCCCCAAGAAGCCGCTGCCTGGACTCCGCACAGGAGCAGGGAGGATGAGGCAGTGCAGGCCTCAAAGGCGCAGTGAGGGGACGGTTGTGGCTTTGTCCCCATCCTGGCAGGGGCCCAGCTCACCTCAGCTGTGAGAGGGCATCCATGGCCATTGCCCGCACGGGAGAAGCCAGGTGGGTGGTCAGCTCTGCCTTGATGATCGCCTGCCCAGCACAAGCAGGGTGGTAACATGTCAGCCTCCCAGAGGTTCGGGGAGGCAAGCGGAGGTGGCCCTTAGTGGACGGTGGTGACAGGCCACTCCTCAGGGTTAGTACAGGAAAGCTGGTCCTAATACCACACACTCTTGTTCTCTTCAGATTGACCTGGCCATGGCATCTCCATGTGGAAGGAGCTGACTGGCCGGGTGCCCTTGGCCACATGCCCCGCCACCTGAGCTGAGATCCCATGTGCAAATCCCAAGCCTCAGTTCCTGCGTTACAGGGCTGTGGCCAGCTGCCATGAAATAACTCAGTTCCTGGCCAACAGAGGCTCACCTGCTCATGCCAGCTGCTCTTCCCACCCGCTTGGCGCTGGGGACTATGCCCAGAGCACCATGGGTACCGTCTGCAGGCAAGCAGCACTGGGACTCGGGAGGAGTGGGGACAAAGGACACTGACTATCCCACAGGCTGTGGGATGTTTTCTATGGCTCGCCAAGTTCTGTGCAAATGTCTCCCTAAGCAGTTTCCAGACAACTATTTGGGAAATACAAGGCCTGCCACTGGCCACTGGTGGACCTGTCCCCCAAGCCAGCCACCTCGCCAGCCAAGGTCCCACCCTGGCTTCATCAACTGTCAAACTTGCTCTTGGAACTCCCATGCTTAGATGGATAGAGGAGGAACTGAGGCAGGGAGGGCACCTTCAGGAGCTCTGAGAACTCAACCAGGAAGAAAGTGGAGAGTACAGGGTTAGAGCCCACAAGCCAGGCCTGAGGGCCCCACCCAACTCACCACTATGAGGCCAGTAAGAGTCGACTTTGGGGCAAAACTTAAACCCTCCAGGTCCTTGACATTTCTGATGGCAGTGGTGAGCTGCATGACACTCTTCATGAAGGCCATTTTGAGGCCGATGTCCTGTGACCCAAAGAGGGACAGAAAGGAGAGCTTGTTTGTGATTCCAAGTTACAGCCCCTGCTCCTGGATCTCTACTTCAAGACAGTGTCAGTGTCAGGGGCTCTGAGTGACTGGTCTTTCTGTCCTTCACCCACATCGACTCCATATCTGCCAGTGGCAGGGAGACCGGGAAGGGGACTTCTTTCTGGGCCCCACGGAGGATGTCACCACACCCAAGCCTTCTGCATCTGTGCCTGAGGCAAGACCACAGGTGGCAGGCACTCTCAATGACTTCAGTCACCTTATGTGTCACCTAAGAGGTGGTATAAATTACTGAATTTAAAAAATTAGAGTTTTAAAATTCTATTCCCATGAAAAACTTGGAGTAGTGAAATTCACAGAGACAGAAAGTGAGATGGCAGCTGCTGGGGCTGGGACAGGAGGACACAGGGAATTAGTGCTTAATGGGGGCAGAGTTTCAGCTAGGGAAGACCCCGACCGCAGAGACGGAAGTCAAGGTGGCTACCAGCAGTGTGAGTATGTGTCCTGCCACTGAACTGTGCACTTACAAATTATTGCAGCAAGAATTTTTGTGCTTGGTATATTTCACCACCATTTACAAAATTAAAAATAACATAACTCTTGCTTTGCTCTCGCTGTGTCCTCTCTCCCTTGCCATCCCAAGAAAGTACTCAGCCTCCCTGCACCTCTTTGTGGATGACCCCCTCCTTGTCCCTCATGAGGGGACCTGGATGAAGCATCAGTCAGGGTCAGGCAGAGGTGAGCGCTGAGTGAGTGGGAGGATTGGGGGAGCCAGGGGTGGCCCTGTGTCTTCTGGGGACCACGCATGACACCAGAGCAATGCACAGGCAGCAGTGCAGGTCCTGGGGGTACGAGCGACATCCAGATGATGCTGCTGGGTGACCCCTGCCAGTCTGTCTCAGGGAAGGTGATACCAGTTGTGGGACATGGTTACCTGACAGCTACTGGAGTAGTGGTGAACGACCTTCGTGGTGATGGGATTGTCCACGTAGGCGAGGAGCATCTGGGGGTGGCAGTAAGAGGACACGCAGCTGTACATCGCCATGAGGGTGCTCTTGATGGTCTCCCGCCTCCAGGGGTGGTCCTTCTGCAGGGAGTGAGAAGGGGAGCAAACACCCCTGAAGGGAGTTGGGGTTGTTCTGCAGGCTCCTCTGGGGGGAAGCAGGGGCTGCCCCAGTCTTTGGTTGCAGAACCAAAGGAGCCACGGAGACAGAGGAAGAAAGCTGACTGTGTCCCAAGTCCCAGAAGTGCTCATTCATTCATGCATGCATTTATTCCTTCACAACTTTGCTGAGCACCTACCCCACACCAGGCACCAGGCAGGAGGTGGGGAGCAAGACAGACCAGTGCCCCATACCAGAAAGGTTTCAGTTCAAGACAGATGCCAGGACCACCCTCGCCCTGAGTGTGAGGTCTGTGTGGATCCCCTAAGCAGAGGCCACCCGCCCACTCTTCAGGCCTCCCCTTGCCAGTCACCTAATCCAGGCTGAGCGCCCCTGGGGTGGGGAGCCAGAAGGGACAGCCCTGTCCTCCTGGTGTGAACACCCTCGGAGCATCTCTGGTGGGAGGAGGTGCTGCAGCCGCCAAAATCCTTGGACAGGAGCTGAGGCACCCGTGCACAGCTACCCCTGGAGTAAAAATCAGGGGTTCCAGCCCTGCTGTGCTGATCAGTTGGGTCAGAAACCTGGGCCAGTCTGGGTTCTCTCCATCCAAACCAGACCCCAGGGCAAGGTCTGAGGTCAAGGCCAAAGCCTGAGGCATTGAGGCCTCCAGGTGGTTTCCCATCGTGGGGCTCAGCCAGGCACAGGACCACTCCCTGGGGCAGGGAGGGGCAGTGATTAGAGAACAGAGCCAATTCCAGGGTCCCCACAGATCCTTCAGGTGCCTTTCCACGTGCTTCTGTGTCCTCTTCTATAAACAGTGAGAACAAGGTACTTCTGGCTGAGCCCAGCAGCAGGGACACCACACAGTGGGGACACTGAGGCAGAGCTTATCACAGGTGTGAGTGGCATCCAGCAAGCATCTTACTGCTCGTAGGGCCTGGAATCTTCCCAGGCTGGTCTGAGGAGCCCAGCATGAGATTCCAGCAGCTGGGATCCTGGAACTAATACCTGGGTCCTAGAGAGGCCCAGCCTGTGTTCTTCAGAGGAACCCAGGCCCCAGGAGACACAGAGTCCCCGCTGACTCTGCTGTGCATAAAGGGAGCCTTACCTGCCAGGCACTGATCTGCCAGCTCTGCTCCGACTCCTGGATCCTCTCCTCGAAGTCCTGGAGCACCTTCAGCACTGTCTTCACCTGGCCGTGGGCACACAGGCCAAAGCACTGAATCACACCCTGCAAGGGAGACCCAGCCAGCCAGCCAGGGAGAGGGCAGGAGGTGAGGAGGGGTCCACACACACCTGTGCACACACACAGATGCACGGACAGCCACGTGTGCACAGGCACACATACATGCATGCATACAGACACGCAGTCTCTCATGAGTCCCCCTTCCCCGCAGAGTCCAGAGGGCGCTGGTGGACAGGAGGGGACTGAGGGTGCCTTCACCTCCCTGTCGAAGTCATTGCCGTAGTCTGTCTTGTACAGCAGCTCCAACAGCAGCAACTGCACCTTGTCGGCCTCCAGGCCCATGGCCAGAGTGAAACCCAAGGCCTGGTACAGGAAGCCCTGGAGAGGCAGGAAGGAAGGCACTCACACCGACCTACTCCTAACTGCAGGTGGCGCTATTGTGGAGCACCTGCTACACCTCTCTGATTCTGTTTCTTTCTCTTCATTGTGCAGTTGTCTATGCATTTCTTGCAGTCTTTTAAATAAACACTTGGGTTATTCTAGGGGTCAGACTGTAAAACAAAAAAACCAGGCTCCATTTTAGCAATGGAGGCCAGGCTCCTGATCTATAAAGTTGAACCCTATACACTCTCTCCTTGTGATTTTCTGTTCTTTACTTTGGTTTCTTGTGTTTCTTTCCCATATTTGATCTGCTTACACCCATTCCACTCTGTTATGACTTTGAAGAGAACCTTTTGTATATCCTGTTTCATAGTTCACATATAGGAATGATAATGATTTTTGCATACCAATCATGGGAAAAGACAGTCTAGAGACTGTTGTCAGCTACCTGGCCCCCACCTGACAGGTTGATACCCGAGAGATGGAAAGTTAGATGAGTAACTATAACATGGTGGACGTGGAAGCATCATTTATTAGATGCTATATATAATTTTTTTTCAAATGGAACTTAAGTTGATGTCTGATACTACCTTACCCCTACGAATCTATAGTGTTCAGAAGCAGAGGGAACCGGAGTACATTCTTTTCTATTTGTTATCGTTATTTTATATATGCAACAATTAAAGATATTTACAAATGCAATTTTTTCTTAACTCCTGTAAAAAACATTTTTAAAAAGTCTTCTGAGATATAGTTTATAGTTTGGTTGCTTTTCTTTGGTTGCTGAGATAAAATATCCAATGCCCAACTTTAAGGGAGGAAGGGTTTATTTAGCTCAAAGTTTGTGGAGGTTTCCGTTCATAATCAGCTGGCTCCAAAGCAGTCTGACATATGGCAGAGGGGCCACAGTTCATAGTGGCAGAAGACAGAAAAAGTGACAAGCTCAAAAAAGAGCGATAGACCTCTTTCGGTTCCTTTTATCTTATCTGGATTAGAGCGGTCCCAATCCAATCCATAGACTGATTCAGCAATCACCTACTCTTAATCCCAGCACCAGTAATCCAAAGATTGTACTACAACTCAATCACACACTCTAGATTCAACCACCTCTGAAAAAGTACTATAGTACTATGATTTTGGAGAGACATTTAGACAAACCATAAGAGATCATATGCCATAAATCTCATCCAGCTAAAACATTAATGTTCAATGGTATATTCAACCATCATCACAGTCTAAGTTCTAATACATTTTTACCAGCTTCTAAAAGTACTTTATATCCATTTTCAGTTACTCTATATTTCCCCTGGCTTCTGAAAATCACTAGTCTACTTTTGGTCTCTATGGATTTGTCTGTACTGGACATTTTGTTTAAGAAGAAAGGTATAATTCATGGTCCTTTGTGTTCCCTGGCATTTGGTTTCTTTCACATAATGTTATCATGGTTTATTTAAGATGTTGTATACTTTAATACTTTATTCTTCTCATGGCTGAATAATATCCCCATGTTCAGCTGTCCCACATTTGTTGATACACTCTTCCATGGATGGCCATTTGTGTCATTTTCATATTTTAGCTATGGTGAATAACACTACTATGAACGTTTGTTTTTGTGGACATCAGTTTCGGCTTCTCCTGGGCATGTACCACCAGGAATAGAATCACTAAATCATACCCTAATATATATGTTCACCATTCTGAGATGATACTAAGCTATTCCTCATTTTTCATTCCCACCAGCAATGTATATAGGCTCCAATTTCATTGCATCCTTACTAATGCATTTAATCATCTGTATTTTTTAATTATATCTATCCAAGTGGGTGTGAAGGGATGTTTCACTGTGGTTTTGATTTATATTTCACTAATGGCAATGATCTTGTACATATTTTTTTATCTCCTGAAGTGGTCATTTGTGCATCTTTGAAGAAAAGGCTATTTAGATGCTTTGCCCATTTTTAATTGACTTATTATTTTATTTTATTTCATTTATTTTAAAAAGCAAAACAGAAAAAAGGATGGAAATGACACAGAATTTCAAAAGATACTATAAAATTAACACTCACCAACATATTGTATATTGATATCTTAGAAGTAGTTGTTCTGGTTATAAGATTTAGACATAAAAATGTTCAAACAATCAAACAATGAAAGCACAAACTTATTTTGAGGAACAGAGATTAATAGTGTAGTAATCTATCTTGTATATATATATATATATATATATATACACACACACACACATATATATATAATTGACTTATTTTTTATTAACAATTTCCAGTATATATGAGAGTGTAGCACATTTATCAAATATATCATTTACAGATATTTTCATCCATTCTATGAGTTTTCTTTTCACCTAATTGATAGTATTTCTTTAGCACAAGATTATATTTTGAGGGGTTAGGGGTTGGGATCCGAGCTTTCACACTGAGCTACATTCCCCCAAACCTTAAATGTTTAACTTTGAGACTGAGTAAGTACTAAGTACTGTGTTGCCCAAGTGGGGCTTGAACTTGCAATTTGTTACCTCAGCCTTGCAGAGTTTTGGGTTACGGGCTTGTGCCACCATGCCTGGCTGAGATAGTTTAATTTTTATGATGTTCAACTTACCTACTTTTTTTTCATCTCTTGTGCTTTTCACTGGTATATCTAATAAATCTTTGCCTAACTGAAATTAGTGAAGTCTTATGCCTATAGTTTCTTCTAGAATTGTATACTGTCAGCTTTTCTATTAGGTCTACTATCCATTTTGATTTAATTTGTGTATGATGTGAGGAAGGATCCAATTTCATTCTTTTGTATGTGAGTATTCAGTTGTCTGGACCATTGGGTGAAAAGATTTTTTTCTTCTACCACTCAGTCATCTTGGAATCCTTGTTGAAAATCAGTTATTATAAAATGAGAGTTTGGGCTGGGGATTTAGCTCAGCGGCATAAGTGCCTGCCTTGCAAGCAGGCAGTCGTGAGTTCGATCCCTGGTACCGATAAAAAGCAAAAAAAAAAAAAAAAAAAAGACAAAAAAAAATAAAATAAAATAAAATGAGAGTTTATTTCTGGATTTTCAAGTCCACATATTTATCCTCACACTAGTACCACACATTGCATTGTGTAAAAAAGTTTTAAAATGGGGGAAATTTGAGTCTTCCAACTTTTTTCTGTTTTCTAATTATTATATATATATATATATATATTATATATATATATATATATAATTTTTAAGAGAATAAAACCAAACAAAACAAAACAGAATAAAGCAAATCAAAACAAAACAATGAAAGTGATACAGGATTTCAAAACAAGATAGTAGGAAATCAATAATGGCTACCTAATGCCTCTTGCTACCTATAAAATAGCAATACCATCAGACCTAATAAAATCAAGCAAAACAGAACATAATAGAACCTATCAAAACAAAACAATGAAAGCTATACCATAGTATATCTTGTTATCTTTGAAATAGTTGCCATGCCATCAGACATAATAAAATCAAACAAAAGAAAACATAATAAAACAAAACAATGGAAACAATGCAAGACTTTAAGGCAAGATAATAGGGAGTTATCAATGGCTACCACTTTCCCTTTTTATATTTTTCTTCCCCTTTCACTGTTGTATCTGTTGTACCTTTTAGATCCCACTAACTCCTTCAGTTTTTCATACTAGGGAGACAACACGATGGTCACCCATGTGAGTCTGAACCATTTCACCCAAGAGCATGATCACTAGCTGCATACATTTGCCTACAAGAGCCTTGTGATTATCCTTCTTTATAGCTCAGTAGCATTCCATTGTATAAAAATGCCTCATTTTTCTTATCCATTCTGTGGTTGATGGGCAAGCTAGCCCTGCTTTTTTTTTGGTTCCCTGTCACATGAAGCATTGTTTCCTCTCCTTTGACTTTCAGTCTATGAATTTCCTTTTGAATTAATGTGTTTCTTGTATACCACATATTGGATCTTGTTTCTTGATCCACCCTGCCTGTGTTTCTTTTTATTGTGAATTGAGACAATTAACATTAATGATTATGGAAACATGCACTGATTCATTTCTGCCATGCTTTTTTCCTGCCATTGGCTCTCTACTTTTCCCCTTCATTCAGTTGTCTGCCCCACTCAGTAATCCCACTCTGCTGATGTTCCAGGGGCCATGGTCATTTTTATCTTTCTCTAAAATGTTCTTCAGTACTCTTTGTAGGGTTGGTTTGGTGGTCATGAATTCTTTACCATGGAAGTATCTTTTTCTCCATTAATTTTGAAAGATAGTTTTGCAGGGTACATCAATCTGGGTTGGAAGTTGTTTTCCTTCAGAACTTGAAATACTTCACTCCAAGCTCTTCTTGAGTTGATGGTTTGTATTGAGAAGTTTGTCGTGATTCTGATGGGGTTTCCTTGATAAGTGATGTTTCTTTTCTTTGACAGCCTTTAATATTCTGTTCTTGTGTTGAATTTCTGAGATCTTGATAATTATATGTCTGGGTATAGATTTATTTTGGTTATGGCTAGTTGGAGTTCTTGTATGCCTCACTTATCTGAATGTCAAGTACTTTTCTTATGTTTGGGAAGTTTTTTGCTATCACTTCTATAAATAGTCCTTTTGATGTCATTTGTGTTGACTCCTGATTTTTCATTAACACCTGTCAACCTTAAAATTATTTTTTGTGTTGTCTTGTAGCCATTGAATTATTTCCTGGTTCCTTGTTATTTTTAAGAGCTCTTTCCTTGTGCAATTGCTAGCTGCCATCCTGTTTTCAAGGTCTCAAAGTCTTATCTTCAGTTTATTTCAAGTGGTTTTGCCAGCTTTCAATGGAGTTTTTAATTCCGTGGATATTTTTTGAGTCTGTTTCATGCATTCCAGTTCTTCTCTATATTGTTCATTTAAAGTTTCTCTCATTCTCCTATACTCCCCTTTCTAAAAAAAAATCTGTCTTCTTCAGACATGCTTAGCAACCCTTTTATTACATTTATCATTTCTTCTTTTATCTGAGATATTATTTGTGATCTGATTTCTTTTACAATCTCATGAAATAGTTTCTTTACTTCATTTGCCATCATTTCAGAAATTTTGGGTATGGAACTTCCACTTTCTTTGGTGTCTCTGTCTCCTGGACTTGTTCTGTTTGGGTTGGAGGCCAGAGACTGTCTTTTACTCCTTCGTCTTGATATTTTCCTGAGTTCCTTCCCAGGCACTTCCCATGTTAGCTACCCAGCCATGGTGTTAGAGGATGGGTCAGGTGCCTAGGTTTCTCCTAACCCAGCTTCCTGGGGAGGCAGTTGAGTGCAGGGGCATCTTCTGTAAGGTGTGACTGACTGGTTCTCTTGGCCCACACTAGCTACAGTTCCTCAAGTCCAACAGGCTAATGGGCCAGGGCTGGCTGCTGCTTCTCCTGTCTATGAAGAGTCCCAGTGGTGGCCTGCGTGTGCAGGGAGGCTGGGCTGACTTCTTCTCCCTGCCCATGCTGGTTATCCAAAGGAGAGTCCCAATACATTCTGGATCCCTTGCATTTCTATAATGAATTTTAGAATCACCTTGTCAATTCCTGTGAGGAAAAATGATGAACTGGGATTATGGTAGAGGTGAGGTTGAATCTGTAGATAAACTTGGGGGAGTATCACCATCTTAACTATATCAATTTCCAATCCATGAACATAGGATGCTTTTCATTTATTGTTTCTCTGATTTAACAGCTTTTAGTCTTGCAGAATCAAAATCAAACATTTTCTATAAGAAAAACTACATATGTGAGTACGAACCAGAATCCACAAGTCAAATAAACAAAACTAAGCATCACTGGACTAGACCACCCAGCTCTCCTTCCAGTGTCCTGTAAACATCTACAGGCCAGAGGGGCTCACACACACATGTTGTGATCTCCTCTGTGCTACCCTCCCTGGCATCCTCCTCCTGTCAAAAATGCCCTGATCCCATGGGAACAAACCTTTTCCAAAGAGGGGCTATCAAAGCTCTTGAGCAGGTTGTTCAGCTCTTTGCTCAGCTGCAGGCTCCAGTGGGTCCCCTTGGTCCTCTTGAGGGAGTTCCTCAGGAACTGGAGAGGTAGAAGATGTTGAGGGGCAGGGCCAAGGGATGCCAGCACTGTCCTCAGCTAGGCTCTGGAAATGTCCTGTGAGTTTGAGTAGCCACTTGCCCTTTCTGTGCATCCTTCTCCAAATCTCTAGATCATTCACTCCTTACAGCCTCAAGCCAGCACTGAGCCCTATATGTCTTAGGCCCGGGGCTGGTGAGAAGGATGCTGCTGCTCTGCACTTCCAGGCATTTGGACCTTTCATTTCTGCCATGCCGATGGAGACAGCTGTGGACTTGACACTTGCCAAGTCCTCTCTGACAGAAGGAGTCCATGTCCACTAGGAAATCCAAAACTCCCCACATGGCAATCCTATCAAATGCCCTCCCATTACTTCTCTTCCTACCTTCATTCAGCTCTCAGAAAATCAGTCACCTGAATAAGCTTTTTCTCCCAGGTCTTCTGATTCCAAGTGAATTCGGTGTGTTCTGCAAGAGTGTACACAAGTCTCATGGGCTGCTCTCTACTGCTGCTGCCCTCCGGGTCAATCTCCTCAGCCTGGCCCTCCACAGATAAGCTCATCATGTGTGGCATTTCCCTCCCCACCTCCCCAAGCTGCTCAGTCAGTTCCCAAGACCAAAGCAAGCCTGGGCTCCTGTTTGAGCCATGACCAAAGCCCCATCATGAACAAGGAGTGGGCACCTCACCTTCCAGGTACTGGACCAGTAGAGGGATTTCCTGCTGCCACATGTTGGCCAAGGTGGGCACAATGCTGTGGCTCAGTGTCCTCAGGAGATTGAGCATGGCTATCCCACGGCCCTCCCCTTTGTAGGGAGATGACATCAGCACCTGAGAATGCCAGGATAGCAATGGGGCAGGGGCTGGGCACCCACTTCCTGGATCTGCCCTCAGTGTAAAGGGGGGCAGTCAGACAAGGTGAGCAGTTCTCAAACAGATCCTGAGGATCTCCAAGACGGAGATGATGCTGCAGGAAGGAGGGGAATGAGGCCAGGTCTCACTTCTCCAAGGCTCAGTAGAGCATGGATTGTTTATAGGACCTAACCCACCCTCAAGGCAGCCAGGACCCAAGTGGTGTCCAGGGGATGCTTTGGACAGAGCTACCCCAGCTGTGTTCCAGCTCATTTCTCTTGATCATCCTGAGAATGAGCTTGGGTAGAGGCCAGACAGGGCATGGCCTCACCAAGGCAGGCACTCACAAGTTGGTCACTCACCAGGAGACGGGCCAGCAGCTTCTGAGGTGAAGGGAGGGCCACTGAGGAAGGAGATGCAACCCTACTGAGGCCACGTGTCCCATCCCAGATGGCCCCATTTACCCTGAAAGATGCTTGTCACTGTGATCCCATTGACACCCAGAAGAGAGACTGAACTGGCAAAGGGAATTTTCCTATAAAGAACATCATTTTCACTGCTTCATCCAAGGAAGAGGGAGAACTGTGTTCAGGGGCTGGGTTCAGAAGGTGCCTTGGCCTGTGCTCATTTTGTCAGGATAGTAAGACTTGCCATGACAGTGTTCATTTCCTGCTATGAGCCTCAGCCTCTGTTAAAACAGCAGGAATCAGACACCCTGCTCCCACCCTCTCCTGTTCCTGTAAGTGTTGGGAATCCATGGACCTGTGTAAAACAAACCTTCAGCTCATGAATGAATGGGTAAAGGAGGGCCAGGCCCACAGAGAAGTTACAGGTGTGGCGACATGAGAGGACTCAGCCTTGGACTCAGGTATGAGAGGGTCATGAAGAAGAATTCAGGGAGCCACACAGGTTTGCTCAGACTCAACTTAGAGCATCCTCTGTCCTTCACCGTCCTGGATCTTATAGGTTTCCCTCACCTTGGTCACAAGCCATACCCTTTCCTGCAAAGTCCCAGGCCCATGAATTCAGCCCCCTTAGGATGAGAAGCTGGAGGGACGGTGACAATGGGTAGTAGGTGTTCATAGTCACTATTTTGTTTTGAGAGCGTTACCAGTGCCTACCTTAGGGGGACTGAGGGGACTTGGATGGAATGACTATAGATCCACTGAGCTGCTTCAGAGAGGCCAGAACTGGAGAAAGGCTGGGCAGGAGGCCCTAGGGTGGGGTCGGGGCCAGGCATGCAGGATGGGCACAAGGGCAAATGAGGAGTGAGGTACCAGGGGAAGTCTGCAGGGTTTTATCACTGCCTCAGATATGGCTGGGACATTCTGAATGCTTGCTGGTGATGGGGATGTTTGGTTGCAGGGATACAAGAGGAAGAATGTAAGGAGCTGGCCCACCTGCCCATTCCCACCAGCTGGTACACAGTTACTGCCCACCATGTTTGCGCTTGCCAGCCACACCAGCCTCCTGGTCACTGTCGTGGAGCTGGCACATCGCCAGGTTCGTGAGGCTGACACAGATGGGGGTTAAGGTCTCCCTGCAGTCCGTCTCCATGATGTAGCTTAGCAGTCTCATCCAGAACTCCTGGCATTCAGAGGGAGAGGGGCCCAGGGCAAACTCAGAGCAGTGCGTGGCCATCTGAGGAGACAGGTCAGGCTCCACCCACGGTGCCTATCCCATGGGTTTCCCAGAGGTGTCCCCTGACCTACTGGCTGGCAGGCTCAGCCTGGATCTGATGCTCTGCTAACCTTGATCTTGTCAGGGACATCGAGGTGACCTCCACCCAGCTGGGCCTCTCTCACTTGCCCAAGCCCATCCCTGCCAGCCTCCCGCCAATCTTACACCAGTCACATCCAGGGCCTTTCCCTTGTCCTAAACCCCCAGAGCTGAGCGTTGGGTAGGTCCCCCAGCTATGCCTGCTGGTTGGGATGGTCAGCTGTGCATATCAAGGATGAGGCTGCCCAGGCATCCAAACACTAAAGAGTGGGGTTGTGTCACATAGCCATGATGAAAACCCTCGGTCTCTAAAGGACACTACCCTCAATAATGCAGAAAATTGAGGTTTGCTGAGGAAAATGAAATCCTCCCCCAGGATGGCAGCCCCAGCCCATCCTGGCCTCCAGCCTGCACATTCCACCCCAGGCAGCACCACAGTAGTGCCAGTTGTTTTTGCAAGATGACTAGACACATCCTCCTGCAGACCACAGATTCTCAGCTGCCTCCAGCTGGGACTCCACCACCATCTCCACTCTCCTTGGAGGAAAGATCAACATGCCCAGCTCTTCCAGATTCCCTTCTGCCCCACCCTAGACCTGGAATTGTGGGGAATTCCTCCACCACCAGCTAACAAGGGCAGTGGCATGAGCTGAACTAGTCACCAGGATGGGAATCTCTCCATTCCTGGGTCCCCCCAGGGAAGCAGCATGGTGAATTAGAAAGGATCTTTCAATTCTGGCTCAATTGCTTAGCAGCTGTGCAACTTTGAGCAAGGTAAGGGGTCCCTCTGAGCCTCAGTTTCTTCCTCTGCAAACCAGAGTGATGAAATAGGAGAATGTTCCTCCCACTTACAAGAGATGGCAACTGGGTTCAACAGCTACAGTGCCTAGTACAGGCAGGCATTCCACGATGATAGTTGCTGTTATTATTTCTGTGATTAGAGTAAGCTGCCACAGGACAGGAAGTACCTAGCCTGTGATCTGACTTGGTGCATCATCATTTACTCATTAATGCTTTCACAATCCATTTTTTGCTATCTTATTGCTGTGTCATATTTCACTGCAACTAAAAGTTGCTGTATTTGTTTCTCCTATCATCTGTGAATCCCAGGGGGCTATAGTGAGCCCCTGTAACACATATCTTCATGTATTTCACATCATAGGAACTTGCTGAATGTTTGTAGAGTGTTTTCTTAAACACATTCACATATGCACATGCACACATGCACAACTGAACTGAAAGGTCCTTAAAATAATAGACACATCATTCCAGGATTCTCTAAGCTGAGTGGAACATATTGAGACCTACTGTGTGCTGTGTGCCCCTAGCATCTAGGAGTCCAGAGATGGAGGACAAGTCTCACCAAAGACCTGGCTCCGGAACTGAGTTTTGATGGGCAAGAGCTCAAGCAAGGGGAAGAGGAAACTTCCCAGCTTCCCTGGCAGTGAGAAGGGAAGAAAGGAAAGGGAAAGATTCTGGGCGTGCCCAGCTCCCCTCCCAACTTCCCAGGTGCAGACAAAGTCCATCCACTCCACTGTGCGGCCCACGGGCTGGGGACAGACTCACTCACGTGAGTCATGCCACTGACAGAAGACGTTATGATCCTCACGGTGTCCATGGTGACTTTATGAACCATCTTCTCCTCCAAGTCATTTGGATAAAACTTCTCCCGGTGATTTTCCTGAAGGGCAGAACCCAGGGAGCCCTGCTGATAGACAGGCAGGGGACTGCCACTGTGTTGAGGACAGTCTCCCCCGAGATCGCAGGAGGCTCTGAACCCAGACACTGGGTCTCCAGCATGCTGTGGACTAGATGTGGGCTTCCCACCTGGGAGATGGCACTTTTCCTAACCTGAGGCTCACAGTGTCTTTGTGCTCACAGCATGAGTGGCTCTGCAGGCCTCACATAGGACATGTGATAGAGATAAAGGGTGAATGTTTAAAGGAAGAAACATTTGTTACAGTAAAAACACACTGCAGTTCATTCCCCTTAACACACACCCTTGCACTCTGGATGCACTTATCCCATTGTTCTTGTCTCCTCCTGCAGCAGTTCTGGAGTACTCTTTTGTCCTTATAAGATGTGATTTTAAAGAAAAAGATTAGGAAATGCTGCAGCCGAGTGCCATCCAAGTGCCCCACAAGTTGGGCTTGTGGGGACACCATGGCACCCTGTTATCCACTTCAGTCACTAGGTCTGGCACCCACTGACTTCTGGCTCTTCCCCAAAGTTCAAATGACCATGAAAAGGCAAATATTTTTAATTGAGGCAACACTTGTAAAACTGCTGCAAAAAGTGGCAGAGTAGCTCCGATAAGTCTGTTGACAGCACGGGGAAGTGTTTGGATGGGGATTCATGGCAACGTGTCTTTCACTGCAATGCCTTTTTAAAAACTTTAGACCCTTGCTGAATTTTTGAGTCATCCTGCCTGGGTAGCACAGTTTGCTCAGTGCTTTGGAAACTGTTTCTAAAGAGCGACTGTTGCACAGAGGGCTAAGGGGCCACTCACCAGTCTGTAGGTGGACAGGGTCAGCTGCACAGACACATACTTCAGGCCCCAGCCTTTGATCTTGTCCTGGTAGCCGGACTGAGCCAGCTGGCCGATGATGCGGAGAACAGCCACTCTCACCTGAGGGGACAGGGCTGTGGGCAAGCTGGGGACAGGAAAGTCTGGGCACGAGACTCAGTGTCTACCCCCAATCCAGAGACATGAGACATCTAGGAAATGGGGTTGTTCTGGGCTGGGAAAAGCTCTGGTGACCACCTGGTTACTTACCAGCCCCTCTGTCCACTACCCCTTGCCTCCTCTGGGGTCCCTCTCTGCAGTGTGCTGGAAGGCACCTCAGCTGAGCCTTTCAGAGCCCCACACCCCCTCTCCTGGCATGTGCTGCCCCTCCCTAGGGGCCCTGCTGGGGAAGGCCCACCCCTTATTCACTCTTTACAGTGGGGTTCAGAGCAGCTGTCACCCTCTTCCTCACAGCTCTGTCCCAACCCCTGTCCTAGCACCCCACTTCCTCCCTGAACCCATCACAGCCCTGCACTGCCCTTGCCACCCCAGAGACTCCTTCCCCACCTGCAGCCAGACCCCAAGTTGCACTCCATGCTGATGGGGTTACCCTGTAGCTTGGGTCCCTCTGTCACTTTTGTCACATGTAATAAAAAGCCCTGCACCAACCAGGCGTGTAACTGTAGCACTCTGGGAAGCTGACGCAGGAGGATCCTGAGTTTGAGCTCAGCCCAGGCAACTTAGTAACATACAGAGATCTTATCTCAAAACAAAAAATATAAAAGGGTTGGAATGTAGCTCCACGCTAAGTCCCTCATTTTGACCCACAGTACTGCAAAATACACAAAAGGCCCATGCAGTATGGCCCGGCCGGCTTCCTGGCCTCTCCTCACGGAGACAGAACTTAAGGCTCAGCCATACAAACTCAGGTCCTCGATGGAAGGAGGGTCTCCGGCAGAACCACAGTGCCTACTGGGCCCCATGGAAGGTCACATGCCTCCACCTCACAGAGCCCCACATCCCACCCTTCAGGTCCCTGCCCTGTTACCTTGGACCGGGTATCAGAGAGGGAGCTCTTGACCACCCGGATGGCTAGGCCAATGGTCCTGTTATTCATTCTGGGCTCTGGAAAAGGAAGGCAGGCCTGGAGGGAGGTGACTCGGGGAGACGTCAGGTGGCTTGGCTCTATCACCTCACATACAGGCTCTTCCAACAGCTTCCACATTTTGAGCACTTTCTTATAACACCTTCTTCAGGGGTCCCCAAGGCACAACCCACAACAGCAGTGCCTTCTCCTAGGCCTGGGTGAGGGGTGGACATAGTTTTACACCTTGTTCCCTGGTTGTCACCCAGCCAGGGCCTCATTTGACCCTGCTACTCTTTCCTGGAGCCCTGCACAAGCTCCTGGCAGCCTGGCACCCTGCGCTGAACACACCAGGCTACAAGCTCAGCTGTCATGAGTGTGGGCTCCGAGCCAGGCGGGCTGGGTTCAAATCCAGCACCCCAGTCATGTGACCTCAGGTGAGTCAGAAGACCCTCTGTGCTTTTGCTTCCTTATCTGTGGACTGTGAAGGATAAGAGTGCCTCCCTCACCAAGCTGCTGTGAGCCAGAAAGAGTTAGCACGGTGCCTGGTGCACCACAGGGCTTTATGTGGAGGAGAAGGGCTTGGGGAGGGAGGAAAGAGCCCTGAGAAAGTCTTGGAGAGGTCTAGTATCATGATGGCTGTATCTAGACCCCTCAAACCTCATGCACTCATAGGTGGGGATTTTCAGAGGTGGCTGGATCTAGAGCGTATGAATATGAATCATAGATGTATGAAGCCCACCAATTGAATTAGCACAGTTCTGGTTGCGTCCTTAATGGATCTGTATCCTGGCTATGGGTGGTACAATAGTTTTGTAGCCTAAGTAGGAAATGAAGGGACAGGGAGGCTGCTATTACTGCTGGCTTTTGCTATCCTGCCATGAACTGTTTCTCCTTGGTGATGCCTCTCTGCCATGTAGTCCTGCCTTAGAGCCAGGCAGCTATGGGCTGAAACCTCTACAGACTGTGAACCAAAATAAATCTTGACTCCATTAACTTGAGGTGTTTGGTATTTGGCAATGATAAAGTAACTAAGACAAGTATGGGCAGTAGGGGACAAATAGGCTTTCAGGTTAAGATTGTATTTGAGACTAGGTATTGTTGAGTCAGTGCTGGGGCAGGAAAGAGAGCTAGTACTCTGGGAGGTTGGAGCAGGAGGATTGCAAATTCAACCCCAGCATGGGCAATTTAGCAACTTAGTAAGAACTTGTCTCAAAACAAAAGGCAGGAGATGTAGCTCAGTGCAAAGGGCCTAGGTCTTAGCCATAATACCACTCCCCCGCAAAAAAGAAATGAGGACAGATAGAGTGGTGGCAGGTAATCAGGCATGGAGGAAGGATGGTTTTTTAAATTTTATCTCTTAGATGGAAACTTTATTTCTCACTTTAACTGCAAAATTAAAACAAAAGACATTCACTTGTAATAGATTAGGTTTGTCCTTCTAAAGCAATTTATGCATACATGAACCTGGATTTTCTTCATGTAACCGAGGTCTATGAATAGTCCCACACTGTAAAGTTCTGCTTCACAGGGAGAGAACAGCTTTTCTATGAGAAAGTACAAATGGACTATGCCCTTTCTTACGGTTGCATAAAATTCATTATGCAGATACACTGTCACTCCACAAATCCTCTATTTAGGCTATTTCTAATGTTTTGCTTTTAGCATAATGTTGAAGGAGTATCTCCATCCAATTATCTCTGAACAATTACTTCCCTTTCACAACTGACAAAACATTGGAATAATGAATCTAAAGTTTGCCCCCTGTTTACTTGAACACCTAGAATTGCCTATCAATTTAAATCCCCATCGATGAGGTATAAGGAGCTGGATTCTTTTTTTTTTCTCTAGGTCAGGGATGAGCCAAGAATAGTGCAGCAGGCAAATCCAGCCCAATGCCTGTTTTTGCAAATAAAATTTTATTGAAACATAGCCACGTTTGGTGGTTTATTGATGCTTTTTCTCTATGTTATGATTTGTGTCTAGGTGTACCCCCAAGCCTCATGCAGTCAGTGGAGGCGGCTGAATCTAGTGTTTGTGATTGGTTCATTGTCTAGTGCTAGGATGGGTGATGTGAGTGCTGCACCCACCCAGGGGCAGAGCCAACACACAGTATAAGGGAGGGAAGAAGGCGTGTTTTTTCCTCTTTTGCCCTTTCACTCTTGTTGCTTTTGGTTACATTAACAGCTGCCCCTCAGCCACACCACCCTGCCTTGCAGCCAGCTGAGTATGGACTGAAACCTCCAAAAACTGTAAGAAATAAACCTTTCTTTCCTTCATTTTGGTCATCAGGTACTTTGTCTCAACAACGAGAGAAAAGTAAGTAAGTAAGACACTCTATGATGGCAGAGTTGAGCAATCATTACAAAAATATGCTTCCCGTAAAGACCAACACATTTTCGCTATTGGCCTTTTGCAGAAGAATGGCTGTTATCTTTATCATCTCTGGCCATTTGATAGATAAAAAGAATTTTATTCTTACTTAAATGTGAATTTTGCTAAGACAGAGGTTTCATGACAAACATTCCTCAGACATAAGTGCCCAATTTGTACCCTGTACAAAGCCTGCAGATTTAAGGCTGAGTGGAATCAGCCCAGGGTCTCCTAACCATTAGGTGCCTGCAGAGTTGATTGATAACACCAGAGAACACCTTGCCTGAATCCACATAGTGTTGCCTCCTGCTGATACCAAGGCCAGGTCTGAAGTTTGGGTTTGGGGGTTAGGGTCAGAGCTTCAGAGTGGGAATCTTGTCTGTGGGACTCTAGAGTTTTTGCCTACATGGTCTAGTTAGGCCTTCAATCCAGCTCTGCTTTCTCTTTGGAGGTTAGTAGCTGTTCCAGGTTAACAGTTTTGTCAAATGCAGGAGGGTGGGGTGGGGGAGGGTAGGCCACAGTGCTGGTTAGGTTCAAGGTTAGGAAATGTGAAGGAAGCTGGAGACCCTATTCCCTTGGCCCACAGCAGTGCTTATTATCCAAGAAGAAAGGGCAGTGGCTGAAGTGAAAGGGGAACCCGCCCCCTCCTCACTTGCTCACCATCAGCGCTCACCAAATCCTTGATCAGGGACAGTATAGCTACACGGGTGGCCTCCTTGCCTGCCTCCATCTGGCTGAAGAGGAACTTCATCAGCTCCCTGGGGTAGGAGCGTGCTGTAGGAGAAGGGGTGCTGTGGTCAACCTAGTGCTCAGGGGGTTGCAACAGAGCTGGGGAAAGGCAGGGGATGCCCCACAGACCCTCACCCAGGGCTATGAAACACTGCACGGTCTCTGCCAGGTTCTGGTTGCTGTACTGGTGCAGAGCTGGGCCTTTGCTACACACCTGTGCAGGGAGAGGTGAGGAGGCTGGGGGAAGTAACATGGAGCATGGGCACAGGAACAGCCCAGGCAAGCTGTGTCTGCATCCCAGAGGAGGCAGGAGGCATGCCAGTGAGCTAGAGACCAGGCCACCTCTTGCAGCCCACCCTGCTCATGCCCTCCACACTCAAGCTCACCGGCCCTACCTGTGCGTGCAGTTCCATGAAAACGGGGTGGAGCTGCATTTGGGGGATGGGGGTATTGGTGGTGACTGATGCTTCCAGAATCTGTCGAATGACCTGCAAAGGATGGATTCCAGGATCCTTGCAGGATTCCTGCAAGTGACTTTCTACCAACCCAGAGTCAGGCACCAGGGCTTGACAACCCCTGGCTTTAGGCAGACCTGCTGACCTGATTCTGAATGGCACCAGGCCCAAGTGAGTCCAGTACATAGAGAGACTCAGGAAGGAGGTATGTTGGGTCCCTGAGCATGGCATGCAAGACCCTTTCTACCCCTCTCTTCTAGGAGGTGCTTGGACACAAATCTGATTTTTTAGCCAGAATCTACAGGGGGTTCCCAAAGTCTGTCACATCTTCCCTGTGATAAGGTACAAATACCTTGCTTGCAGGTAAGTGATCCCTTTACAGCATAGATCAGCCCAAGCCACACACCCCTTTGGGACCCTGCAGTGTCACCACCTCACACAGCCTAAGGTAGTCATGTCCCCTTGGCCCCAAGATTCATGTCTACCTGGAATTCAGAATGTGACCTCATTTGGAAACAGGGTCCATGTAGATGTAATTAGTCAAGGACCTCATGAGCCTATGGTCTTAGTTACAAAAGCCATATATTAATCCAAAGGCCGTGACCTCCCTCCATTCTCTGAGGCCTTTGGGATTGTGGTCCCTTCCTCATGAATGACAGTTCTTTTCCCACAAACCCTGCAAGTCCCAGGTGTGGGGGCAGATGTTGGGTCTGCTACATCTCTCCCTTCCCCCATCAGCTGACACCCCCAATCTGAGCAGCCTCCTGAGCGCAGGACATGGTGTCCACCCTCACCCGTGTGATGAAGAACGGCTCCAGGCTGCTCTGGTACTCGGCCAGTAGCAAGGGGATATAGTCATACACCTGCTCCCGCAGGTCATCATTGGGCAGGAGGAGGCTCAGCATGGGCTTCAGGGACTTGATGACCCCCACCTTCACCTGCCACAGCAAACAGGGCCACCACACCCCAAGCCGGGTCAGTGACCTCAGCACCATCCACAGAACCCAAGGACATGGCACAGATGGACCAATGGAGGTGGAGTCAAGACCTCACCCTGAGGTCTGCAGATGGCCCAATGGGTTGAGTCTCACCTCTAAGGTCACCTCTAAGCTAGGTGACCACCATATATATGCCTCAGTTTCCTCATTTGTAAAATAGTCCTACATCAAGGAGTTGGTATGGAATTGGCTCCCAGACACAAGCCACCCGGAACTCACCCTGCCGTCACAACACTGTCAGAGGTATGATGACCAGCACCTCGTGGCTCTGCCTATATCAGAGTTGGCCCATGAGGCAGGTTCTGTGGGTGTATCTGTCAGGCCTTGGGCCCTCTGAGGTCCCTGTGCATGTCCAGCCCCATAGCCTGGCGAGATTCTAAGGGGGTACATCTCACCTCAGGGCTGGGATGTCTCAGCCATACGGTCACAAAGTAGCGGTACATGGGGAACAGCTTCACAGCGAACTGCTCCTCACTCATCACAGGGTACGTGCTGTCCTCCAGGTGCCTCAGGTAAAACTTCACCGTCTCACAGAAGGTCTCTACGGCTGTGGAGCAGGGGGAGGCAGGTGGAGCCGGGAGCCAGAAGCAGAACTAGAACACCCCGGCCCATACTGCTCACTCTCTGCTCTTCCACCCACATGGCCCCTGAAACGCCTGTCTGACTGTGAGAGGGGAGCTCACAGGTGTGTCCTGGAGGACACAGGGTCAAAGGGAGAGCCTGGAATAGGACTATCCACCTATGCCCTGGGGACCTCAATGAACAAGGCAGCAAATGCACTTGAGCCAGGCTCCTGAGCACCTGGGTTTCTCAGCCCACAAAGATGTCAAGCAATGCAGGGCGTGGGGGCAATGTCTGCAGTCTCAGCACTCTGAGAGTCTTAGCCAGATCCTGCCTCACGGTAAGAATAACAGAAAAATTAAAATCAAACCCCTTCCCTGAGGGGTTCAGTGTAAAGACTTTGGATTCAATTCCCAGGATTAGGAAAAAATACAAAGCAATCAAATCTTGGGGTGAATTCATCCTACTTAAGAGAGCATCAGAGACCTGCCCAAGGCAAAGGAAGACGTCTGTCCTCATCTCCCTGTCCTATGAATGCTCACCGCTCTTCTCTGGTCTCCTGAATGCTTAGCCTCAGAGAAAGCCTCGCAGATTCACAGCGCTGGCTTCCTCTCCCTGAGGCACCCACATAACCCAGCCGCAGCTCCCAAGAGAGCCAGTCAGAGGACAAACAAAGCAGGAATCTGAACTAATGTTCAGGAACTGATATACAAAGTACCTCTCATCAACAACCCCGCCACCTTGCCTCCCCCTCCAGCACCCTGACCAGGCTGGACCCACAGGTCCAAGGGTTCACGCACCACCACAGATCACCTGGCGCATCTTGGCTTCTTCTGCAAGTCTCAGCATCGTGAGTATGGTCGCCAGAGTGATACCCATGTATGGCATGAACTCAAATACTGTGGGACGGGGGAGAAGTCACAGGGCATCTTCAGACCCAAGTGAGGTGAGCCGGGAGAGGCAGAGAGGTCAAGCCCTCTCGCCTCCACTTCCAGGCCTCTGACAGCCCAATGCCAGGGAACACTGCTGGCGAGGGTCACTGGAAGTAGTGTAGGAGTCAGTCACAGCTGGCAAGCATGGAAATGGGTGAAGGGGAAAGGATGGGGAGAGAAGAGGAGGGGTAGAGGAGCCTGCAGAGGGCGCCAGAGTGAGGCTGAGGGAGAGAGAGACACAGCCCTGGGAAGGCCTGGCAGGAAGTGAAGAGAGAGGAGGCCCTACACCTGCATCTGAGAGAGCCAGGAGGAGGCAAGTGATGGAGGGAAGGGAAGCAGGGAAAGACTTGGCACACTCTGGTTGATAAATGATCCCTTCATCTCTTCTTCAGACCTGATTGCCATAGGACAACTGACATTTGAGCAGTAAAATAATAACGTCTGTGTCTGCCTGCCTGGCTGAGTCCCTCTATCCAGGCTCTCTAATGGCAGCACCCCAAGCCTGGGTATCCCTCCCCACTGCACTCCTTTTCCTCTTTCTGTCCCAGCTAGGCCTCTACTCTAGCACACAGGGAGACTTGTCCACTGTCCTGCTTCTCAGGCGGGTCCTCGACAGAGCTGCACACAGCAGCACCCTGCCCTTCCTGAATGGCATGGTGTCGGGTTTGTACATCTGACTGCATTGCCACCAGAGGGATCTGGATTCCTTGGAGACCACGTTTCCAAGTTTGGATCTGGACTTTTCTCCCAGGCCAGTGATGTACAAAAGACACTCCATCCCAGGCAGTCCCAGGCAGAGCCACAGCTCCCTCACCCTGACCACGGCCAAGAACAGAGACCAAGGTCCTACAGTGGCCTGCAATGGAAACCGCGACAGGTTCGATGTATTTTAAACACGACATTCCCAACACATGATGACTCTGGCAGGCCAGAGCCCCATCCTAAGTGAAAAGCACCTGTCCTTCCTCTGGGCTCCCACCCACCCTGCCACCTTCTAACCTTCTAAGTTGGGCCCCAGGCTGGGTTTTGGGCCCCAAGTCATCTCTTCTGCTTTCCTCCCTGGATGTCAGTGGCCTTGAACACCACTTTGATCTGAGGCTGCCCAGTGAAGGCCACATCCTCCGAGCTCTCCTTTCAGAAAATCAGTGCCCACCTGGTCTCTCTGCTGCAAAACCAGATTCTGTATGGGAGCCCCCCAGCTCTCTCCCAGCATTCCCGGTTTCAGAAAAGGAGCCCGCCACAACCTCAGCCGCTTGCTTCCTCTGCACCTTCCTCCACATGCATGAGCCAGGCCACCTCCCAGCTGCACTGTGTACCACTGTCCCTGCCCAAGCCCTGGCATCACCCATCATGGCTCCCATAAGGCTATCTCACGGAGGGCCCTGAAGACCTCCCCACTTAAGTGTCCACTTGGCTGGTCTCTATTCCCCACTTCTCACAGTAAAAACTTGGGATTTCTCATCTACTCATTTATGGCCCCTTCTGAGAACAGGGACCATATAGTGGCCCAGTGTCCATGACAAGGTCCACACAGAGCAGGAGGTCTGAAATGAAAGAAGAAGGAGGAAGAGAGAAGAGAAATAAAAAGAAATGGAGGTGGGAAGACAGATAACAATGCAGGCAGAGAAAGGAGAAAGGGGAAGAGGAGGGGCAGGAATGAGAGAGAAAAATAAAGACACGAAAGTGAGAAATGTGTACAGAATCTGAACGGCGGAGACAGAGACCTATGGGGCTGAGACAGAGAAAGAAAAGGCAGAAATGGAAAGGGAAGGTAGAGACAGAGGCAGAGATGGAATGAGATGGGGAACAGAGAACACCGGGCTGACTGGAACGGGCAGGCTGGGGTGGGGACCTCAGAGCCCTACCATTGCCATTGGCCAGCTTGGCCAAGGTGACAATGACAAATTCATCAGAGAGGCTGAGGGGCTTGAGGTGGTGCTGCAGCTCGTACATGACCAAGCTGAAGTGTTTTCGGGACAGAGCCACCAGGGTGTTACTGGCCGCCTCCGCCTTCACATTGTCTTCCACCTGCAGGGGACATACGTGTGACCGCTGCCTTTAGCTTGACCTTAGTAACCTCCCCTCACCCTGTTTAGCTCCACCCCCCTGACTCCCTTGGGCTTAGCCTGCCCAGGCCCCAGCAGGTGAGAGTGCAAGGCGGCTGGGCTTCCCGGGCTCTTGGACTGGCAGAGGTAGGGCATGATGGAGCCTGGATCCTGCTACCTCTGAGAGCGTCCTCATCTCCTTGGAGGCGATGGTGACCAGCCTCTGCACACACTGCTCCTCCAGCTCCCCGTCCTGCTGGATGATTTCCTGGAGAATGTTGTAAATGTTGACTTTGCGCTGGGTGGAAATCTGGGAAACAAAGATGACTGATGAGAAGACTGCTGACTGGGTCACAGGGTCTGGGGGAGACCCTGTCCACTTCCCAGCCTCCCCTTCCTATCTAGTAAAGGTGACCACCATTCTCCATTCGCCAAATCTCAGAGGTAGACTTCTCTGTCTTCATTTCCTCCGAGCTCCCGCCCATTCCTCCTACTGGCCCTATTGATGTGACGTGCAAATCGACCCTCTCTTTCCTGTTTCAGTTAATATTAAGTAAGGTAGGTGTCCAATGGATCACACACATGATCCTTGACACCAACCATCTTGACAACCCAAGAAAGCAGGCTTTCCCTTGCCTTTTGCTCTGGCCGGGAATGTTTGTCTCTTCCTTTTCTGATTCTACATGGGCAATACTTACCACCATTTAAAATGACCTGGCTTACAATGAGGTTGGACCTGAGAGTATACCGGGATAGTGTGCATATGACTCTGACTTGCTCAGGTGTGACAAGCCACCCTTAAGGAAGAAAGGTTGGTCTACATACAAGTACTGCTGTTGCTTGCCAAGTCCTCAGGGGGAAATGGTAGGAGGCCCAGAAACCTTGGAAGTTTTAGGGACCCATAAAGAGAGGAAATCACTGCTGGTAAGTTCTGCTGGCAAAATTCACTACAGAAATCTTAGTTCTGCTGGTAAAATTCACTACAGAAATTAGTTTTGGTTACCTGGTCTTGGGGGTAGCAATTAATAAGGATGGGAGGAATTGGTCAGAGATTCCTTTTGATAACTCCGGGACAGAAGTTAGTTCTTGGGCTTACTAGCTACTCTGCATTGCCTGACTCTAGCCCAGTGATTCTTAGTCTTTATTGTGATTTTATTATTGCCTTCTAAGGGGACTTTGTAGACATTTCCCCCAGTTTTTCTCCCAGTGAAATTTTAATAGCACAATTACATTGTACATCTGTTTGTACACAGATCTGTGTTTTATATATTAAAAATTGGAGTTTTCTTCCTTCCTCTTGAGGGCAATAACATCTCATTGAGAAAGCATATTCTAGGTTTCCAATGCACATTTAAGAAGGTCTAAATTTTAATTAACACTCTGACTGTACTTTACATAAAGGGGTAAGTAAATTACAAGAATAGCCTTTTTTGTGATCAAGGTTAATCTTCAATAAACAGATTTATGATACCAAGAAATAGTCAACATAAAGGCCTATCAATGGATGACTGCATAAAGGAAGTGTGGTCCATTTAGGCATAAAAGGATAAAGTCCAATTTGTGACCACATACAAGGGCCTGCAGGACGCTACCCAGAGTGAACCAACCCAGGCACAGAAAGACAGGTACTACATGCTCTTGTTCACATGCGGAAGCCAAGAACTGCTTTCTGAGAAGTTTTTCAATCTCTCTCTTTTTTAAAAAATTTTTCTTTTTTGTAGAGCTGGGGACCAAATCCAGGTCCTTGTGCATGCAAGGCAAGAACTGTACCACTGAGTTACATCCCCAACCCGGTTTTCTGAGAAGTTGAGTGTCAGATGGTGGCTACCAGATCTGAGGAGAGGAGGGAGAAAGGGGTGGGGGAGGGGATGGCCAAGGGTGCAGTGGTACAGCTCAAGAGGAGGAACATGTCCTGGGGTGCCGTTGCACAGAAGGGTGGATATGGCTGGCAATCATGCATTGTATATCTCAAAAGAGCTAGATGAGAGGATTCTGAATGTGTTCATCTTAAAGAAATGATAATTTTAAGGTGATGAGTATGCTAATTATTCAATTTGATTATTGTACAATGTACACAAAAACTGGAACATCACATTGTACCCAGGAAATATGTACAATTATGTGTTAATCAAAAAGAAGAAAGAGACAAAAAAGGAAAGAAGGAAGAGAAGAAGAGAGGAAAGGAGTGGGAAGGAAGGAGAAGGTAAGGGAGGAAGTTAAGGAGGAAGGAAGAAAGGGTTTTTGGAGAATACTTATGATCAGGAGAGAAAAATTATAAAAAACTTGGAAACTGGTCAAAGTGATCACTGGGCAGCCTTCCAAGGGAATATCTGGTGCTGCCTGGCAGGTACTCTGGGACTGTCAGGCTCTGTAAGCATCTGTGTCTTTGCTTAGTTTTAATTGCCTACGTTATTTTACAGTTTTGTAAGGATAGAAGTCAACCTGTAGAAAACTTTTAAAAATTCAGATGCTCTCTCCATAGCAGTGAAAGTGATTCCCATTCAGGGTAACACAAATGGATTTGTCTGGTAAAGAATGTAAATCTCTATAGGTCAGATTCTCATTTGTACAGCTTTTAACATTTTACTGGTTCTTCACTAATTAAGGAATAAATAAGAACTCTAAATAAGGAATAAATAAGAACACTAATTAAGGAATAAATAAGAATAAATAAGAACTCTGTGATGCACGTTAATTTTTTAGAAGCATGCCTACTTGTCTACTGTTTGCTTCTTGCCACTAATCTCTACTTTAGGCTTAGGCATTAGACATTTATGATTTTCTATATTTTATGATGCTTTGATCTTTGGGAGCTACTAATCCTGGAGCGAATGCCCTTGTCAGAGTTAGCCAACTCCTAGAGATAAGTACAAAAGCTACCCATGTGCATGCTTTTCCAATACAAAAGAAAAAAATAAAACACATAGGACTGAAATGTATGCTTTCAAAATTCATAGGTTGCTAGCCAGCCCCAAATTGCATGGTACTTGGAAATGGACCTTTGAGAGGAAATTGGGGTTAAACAAAGTCATACGAGTGTGGCCTTAATCCAGGGGGGTTGCTGTCCTTGTAAAGGAGGTAGAGGCAGAAGAGAGCAGTCTGTTTCTCTGCACCTGCACAGAGGAAAAGCCTTGTAAGGACAGCAAAAGGCCAGCTGTCAGCCAGCTAAAGAGCCCTCCACAAAATCTGAATCTGTCAGCACCTTGCTCATGGACTTCTGGCTCCAGAATTGTGAGAAAATACATTTTTCCATGCAGCCTGTGGTACCCTGTTAGAACAACCTGAAAAGACTGTGACATCGAGTCTGGAGGCCACAGTGCACCCAAGTGACTTCCAAGTCCACTGGGTCACCGTACAAGGGAGTTTTTAATGTGAATGCCTAAGGCCCAGTGGGGAAGCACCTCCCCATGTGGCCCATCTCTGCATCCCACCATCTGCATGTGATGGTTCTAAGTGTGTGCTGGGCAGTGGGCAGATGTGCAAGCAGCCAAAGCTCTGAGGAGGGTGCTGCCCAGGGGGTGGTGACCCTACCTCTGACATCCGCAGGGAGCAGATGAGGGCATTCATCACCGTGGAAGGCTCTGAAGTGGCTTTATCTGTGATTATCACTGAGGCCAAGGTCTTCCGCATGTCCAGACCTTCCCCAGCCTTGTCTGACTTTGCTGACTCATTGTCCATGATGTTCAGGAGGTTGGTGACTTGTTGGAAGGTTCCTGAAATAAAATAAAGACAACACAGGTTACGCTCACAGGAGGTGCTCCCTGGCCTCCCCTCCACCCACATGGCTCCAGCTACCCTTGTGCAGATGGAGAATCTGAGACCTAGACTGTCACTGATTGCCTTTGAGGAGGGAGTGCTGAGGAGGGGCAGGGGTGCAGGCGTGCGGTGACTCCCTTACCATCTGATTCAGGAGGTCGCAGGTCCTCTGCTTCCTCCAAGTCATCTTCACGCCAGTCTGTTGCTACTTCTGCCATCTCCTCTGCAAGCTCTTGTAAGACAGCTGAGATTTGTGAAATACTAAGTACGGCCACACACCCCAAGGTGACCTCCACTGATTTCTTGTTTAAACCCTTTCCCTTGCATATGGGCAGCATTGTGACTTGCTTCTAACCAGCAGAATATGGCAAACATGACAAACTGTCCCATCTTGACTGAATGATGTTTTGTGGCAACATTGTGGACAGTCCCTCCCTTGAGTAGGTGACACTGGATAGCAAAATTGATGGGAAGTCACTCCTATGACTACATTATTAATGTAAGGCTCTGTCTTAGCTGAGTGGGGACAGACATTCTGCCAGCCTTAAAAAAACAACCAGGACGCAAATGCCCATGGAGGGGCCGTGAGGTGAGGAGCTGGGGGTCTCTGTCATAAAACCACAAGGAACTGAGTTCTGCCAACACCCACATGTGCTTGGAGGAGGACCCTGAGCTCCAGAAAGGAACATGGCCCAGACCTCGATTTCAACCTCCCAGAGCCTGTGCAAAGGACTCAGCTGAGTCACATCCAGGAACTGTGACACGATGCCTGGGTGCTCTCGAAAGCCCCTGGGTTAGTGGCAGTCTGTTACACAGCAAGAGAAGATGACTACAAGAGCCCATCTCTCTTTTCTAGACACTGGAAGGTCATGACTAATAAACTCAGCCACTCTCACTCCTCGCAAGGGCTCCTCAACATCCATGCCTTCTCAAGGGGTGAAAAACACCAGCACAGATATCAAGATGGAAGATCCATGGCCCTGGAACTCCTTCTCTTTCTATCCTGTTTTTCATTCCTCAGGGTCCAGGGTCTTTCTTCCTCCCGTGCTTTCACTCTCCTGGGAACCCTTAAATACCTACTTTGGGGCCGAAATGCTGACCTTCCTTCAGAGGTCTTCTCTGGATGGAACAAGAATACACCACAAGAAAAAGCTCAGTCCTCTGCCTGATACACATTGAAGGAGACCTGGGCGATTTTAGGATCAGTTGTCCAAGAGAGATAGTTGGGCTCCTCTGCTGTTATTCTCATGAGGAGCGGGACTTCTAGCAGGGTGGGAGCATTTCATTAGAATCACCACCGTTGGATCCCAGACCCTTGGAACTTTGAGATCCAACTGCCTTCCTGAGTCTTCAAGTGCTTCAAAGAGGACCCAGGACCCTGGGATAAAACTCTACATCATTAAACACGTCTGCTACCATGTATCATATGTGTGTTAAGTATGGTAGCCTGTTTGTGAAAGGGAATTGGTGGGGTGTTGGGTGATCCAAGTTCCAGGGGGATGGAGCCCAAGATGGGGAGGTGAGGTCAGGGCCAAGTTGGTGGTGGGTAGAGAAGAGTACAGCAGAAATTTTGGAAGAAAAGAACTCTCCTTGCCAAAGACGGGATATGTGTGGTATGGAGAACACTTAGAAGATAAGGAAACACAGAGAGAGGCAGGAGAGCAGTATCCTTGTCTTCCGAAACCAAAAGCTCTCAAAGTATTTCCCTGTCACTTGCAGCTGAGACAGAGTGTCTGGATCAGTAGTTTGCATAATGAAATATCAGCATTTGGAAAACTTTTCTGAGCACTGCATGTCGGTCCAAGGCTTCTTTGGTAGAACTTCCATTTAAACTTTGCCCATCCTGCAAAGTCAGAGGTCTTCCATCTCTGGCTGGTCACCTCTTAACACCGAGGAACTCATTCCCCTTGGTAGCAGCCCATTTGTGGAATTTGGGCAGTTAGAAAATGAACTTCCTGTCCATTATGCCAAACAAAAATCTTTCCCACTAAAATCCTGCATCATTTCTAGTTCCGCCTTTCAGACACCTGATTGGTCAACACAGAATAGACACAGGAAGACAATTACTGTGTGCTCTCTGCGCTGCCACCTCCCACTCCCCACTGGACCTTTTTATCTGTCAGGGATTGCTCAAGTCGCTTGGTTGTAGTTCAGAAGAATTCCATGTATACTCTGTACATGCCTACTGTGCACCGCTAGTCGTGATTTGCCATGTTTGTGGGGCATAAAGTGTGGTTCAGACACATCTGTGTCCTCAGGGAGCCTTTCGATTTTACACATAAAAGATCACACATTGAGAGCCAGAAGTGAATGTGTCACCCCCAGGTTTCAAGACCAAACACAAGCAGTTATTGTTGTCCACCAGTGCATGGGTTGGTTGGTTGTGGTTCTGCTGACCTGGGCCATATCCAGATATGCAGAGCATAGCAGGAGTCCCTCATGTGCCTATAGTCAACCAGCTGAGGACTAGCTGTTGGCTGAAGTGACAAGGTGACGGAGGTTCCAGGCAATTCCAGGAGAGTGCATAGATACCTGAAGGCTTCCTAGGGCCTTAACTTAGAACCAGCACCCATCATTTGCTCCTGCTATTGGCCAAGGCAAGTCACAGGACTCAAAGGGTGGGTAAACTGGTGCCTCCTCTTCAAAGGAAAAGCAGCAAAATCCCACAGGGAAGGATGTGGCTAACTGATAAGTGGAGCAAGGATCCATTTTTACAGACTACAGGCAGAGTGAACGTATAATATAAGTCACAACAAAAAGTTCAATAGCCTTGACCACGTTATCTAGAGAAGACACTAGAGCAATATGAATGAGTGAGCTCTTACTGGTTTTCAAAAATGCCTTTATTTTTCTGATTATGACAGTCATGCTGCACTCACATGCAATCCATTCACCAATCTTTTACGTGGCAGCATTCTACTGAGCTTCCCACCTCTGCTTTTATGGGAAGTAACCAGGAAATAAGTCAACACTGTATTTGCAGACTCTTGTGAGTGTAAATGCATGAGCTAAGTAAACCTTTTCCTTCTTTGAATTAATTGCCTCAGGTATTCCAATGTGGTAACATGAAACTAACTGTAATTATACCTAAAATGTGAGGAAGATTTTAGAATTGGAAAAAGTTGAATGAGTTTGGAGCACTTGGTAGGAAAAACTGGAAGTGTTGCAGAGCAGAGCATTATGGGTGTCTCTGATGAGGACTCAGATGACCAGAACACTAGTAGAAATGTGGACAGGAAGGCTATCGTCCACCCACTTGGAAGGCCCAGGCATGATTTTCATGGGTAAGATCTCAAGTTTAAAGAATGCACATACACAAGACATCAGCAACAGCAGAGAGCACAGAGCACAACAGAGCACAGGAGTGCAAGAGCAAGAGCGAGAGCCCAAAGAGCCACCTGCATCTTTATTGTACAACTCTTACCCAGGCTGTTACTCATATTTACACTCTTATATAGTGCCGTAACCAGTGCATGCATGTTTACTTGTGCTAAGTCATGGTTACATAACTGTATCCCACTGTGTGCCTGCGTTAGACACACAGGCCACATTCTCAGGTGTCCTTGAGATATCCCTGAGCTTTGAAGCAATCTTAGTGGTTCCCCACAGCTATGTAGATGTTTCAGTTGGAAGTGAGGACATGAAGGGTGAACTAGAGAAAAGACCACCTTTTCACACCATGGTAAAGAACTGGGCTCCACCCTGTCAATTCCCTGAGACTCTGTGGAAAGCTGACCTTAAAGGTGATAGGCTAATTTATTTAGTAGAGAAAATCTCAAAATAACAAATCCTTCAGACTATGGAATGGATGTCATTGTTTGTTTTTGGACACATTTACTGTGAGACTTAGGAGCAAAAGGGAGGAGAAACACAGAGATTTAAAATTCAAATCTTGGCCAGGAAAAGTAAAAAGCATATAAGGCTATGGCCAAGATACATATGTTGTTATAGAGATAAATGTCAATAAAAGGAGACAGTGCTTTACATCAGAAAATCAGGATCCCGCACCAACCATACAAGTCAAAATGTAATCCCTTGTTTCTTCTTACATAGTCTCCCATTGTGAGGGGCCACCTCTTGCAACCAGAACTGAGCAAACTGCAGGTAGCATGCCTTTGAACCTCTAAAACTATGGTCTTTACAAGTTAGTTGCCTAGGGTAGTTTGCTGTAGTAATGCAGTGTGTGTGTGTGTGTGTGTGTGTGTGTGTGTGTGTGTGTGTGTGTGTGGTGTGTGTTAGTTACTGGGGGTTAGGGATTAAACCAGGGGCCTCCCTAAAGACCTATATCTCTAGCACTTTTTAATTGTGACTTTGAGACAGTCTCACTAAATCATTAAGTTGCCCAGGCTGGACTCAAACTTGCAACCTTCCTGCCTCAATCTTTCAGAGTTGAGACTACAGATATGCAACAACTCCCCCACAAAACACACACACACACACACACACACACACACACACACACCCCTGCAGTATTTATAAGCATATATACTTTCCAAAACATCTTTGTTCCTAAGATTTTCCCAACTATACCAAACATCTCACAGGAATAAAAGGTTTCAGCCTGCAATCATTTGGGCCTGTGACAAAGTAGCACATTGTAGCGGGAACACAGGGTAGTAGAAGCCTCTAACCTCATGCTGGCTGGGAGGCAGACAGAAAGAAAGGTGTCTCCGAGTGTCTGTCAAAGGCACATGCTGGTGGCTTCACTTCCTTCCAGAAGGCCCCATCACTTGAGGGTTCCACCACCTCCCACTGGTCCCAATGACTGAAGACCAAATGTTCAGCACATGTACTTTTGGGTGACACTCAAGATCCAAACTCTACTAGTGATGGTAGTAACTTCTGGGCAATGTAATTACTGGTGAGGTTTTTTTTTTTTTCACGTGTGTGTATGTGTGTGTCGTGTATGGGTGCACACCTCTGGACTTTTCAAATTTCCTGTAATCATCACGTTGTACTTTTATAATTAGAAAGTAAAATGTAAGAATGTATAAATAAATGCAATACCAATGAAGAGAAAAACAGAAATATAATTTATATGAATTTATTATAACAAAGTTTTAGTTATGGAAAACATCAGAAAAAATGTACTCCCAGAATTATACTTGTTTTTTAGCAAATTCCAATCCATTGGACACAAGCGATTACTGTCATCTCAAATACATCATCCATTAATTTTCCCCCCAAATTTGGAAATCATGTTGTTTTCAAGGTCTCCAACCCACTCATTCATATCAAACACACCCTCAAGGTACAAAGATTTCCCTCTCCGAACATACAGAGCGACATCCAGGAAGCATGATCGGCAGGGGCACTGGTCATCACTGCTGAGGCACTAACAAAAGGAGGCCATGGAAATCAATGACCTTGGAACCATCACTGAAGTGAGGAGAACCTCAGGGCCACCACTGAATCCTATAGGTCCAAACAGGTGACTTTCCTGAGTAAGAAAAGTAATGCAGAGTGCCAGCGCCCTTTTTAAGTCATTCTGGCAAGGCAGAATCCATATTCAAATCCCTTTGCTTGTAGGGGTGACCAGCAATTAGATTATTTTTATTTTTAAAAAATATTTTAGGGATATCTAACTTTTCACAAAGGATTTCTTCAATGAGAATTAAAAAAATTTAATGCTGACTGTTTTCCAGTTTGCATTTGATTAGAGAATTGAACAAAATTTTTCCTTTTTTCCCACCCACTTCTCAATGTGTCTTGGATTTCTGGGTTTTCTTCCTTTGCTCCTTTTTCCCAAAGCATTTCCTGAAGCCATAGGCACAACACTTAAAGGAGATGAAGGCCACCAACAGCACGATGCCCAGGAGGAAGCCAATGACATCCAAGGAGTGGTACTGGTACCAGGTGAGGTCGTGGGCCGCAGGGCGCAGGTGTGGCGCCCCCTTGTGCCTCATCACAAACTCCACCCAGAACACTGCCAGGTCCAGGGGCTCTATGGGACGGTCCTTGTGCAGGCTGGAGAGGCGCATGATGTTGTCCTTGTAGCTGAGCACCAAGACAGTTATGTTAATGCCTGGCACACGCAGAGCAATGGGCATCCTTGCCCTGATGCTTGCTCCCAGCTAAGAAGGCTACCAGATTTTCTAAATTTGGTAGGGAAATATGTTTCTGTCATACTCACAAAAGAAAACATACAGACTTAATAAATATTCTTTATGAAAGAGGAGGAGGGCAGGGAGAGGAGGAAAGGAAGGAAAGGAGAAGGGGAAATACAGGTAGTAGTCTTTAGCTTTTCACTTACCTTTTGTCATAGATGACTTTTTTTAGAGCATCTGCTATGTCATCAGAAGTCATTTCAAGGACATTCAAGGTCACACCAGCTCCCCGTGTCTCCATGCGCTTTGCATTGTCCATCTGATCACCGAACAAGGGCATCATGACCATGGGGACACCATTGCATATCCCTTCATAAACGCCATGGGAGCCAGCATGTGTGATAAATGCCCGGGTCTTCGGGTGACCTGAGAAGCAAAACAGGGAGGATGCAGGCTGAGTCTTCTAGCCAAACTCAGTGCTGTCTCCATGAGACCTACTCAGACCTCACAGATAAAAAGTCAGGTTGGGCACGCTGGCCATGGTCTTGTCAAGCTAAATGACCCTTCAGGTCAGGTATCCTTAAGCCATTTCTTTATTTAACATGGTTTGACCTACCTATCAAATTGTCCCAACTTACCAAGCAGATCATTTTGGGGTAACCACTTGACAAGTATGGTATTCTTTGCAAGATTTGATGGTGGAGTTCCAGTGTAGCGCCACAGGACCTTGCAGGGACCAAAAAAGAACACAGTTTAACAAAAAGAACATGATACGATTTTTTGGTTTCATTTTTAGCAGCTAGCATGATGAGTTCTCCAAATGACTAGAAGGAACCTGCCAGAGCACATAGGTTAGGAATTAAAAAGACTTTGGCAGTATTCTGCATCTTGACGCAGAGGCTTAGTGGCTAGAGTGTGCTTGCTATGTGAATATGCAAAGCCACCAAGCTGTGCTTTTAGAATTTTTTCACTTTTTTGTGCTTCCCGGGAAAGTTTAGTTAGTAAAGCAACTGGATGCAAAACTATACAAGCAGAAACATGTGAAATAAATTTGATGTCCTAATAAACAGATTTTTTGAGGCATTCTAATTAAATATAGGAGGAAACAATATCACGTTTATTTGTTTTTAACTACAGCCCCTAACACTTTAGGGTCTCTCAGAGAAAGTGGATCTTCAGAGTGCAATGAACCATGGTTGAAGAGTGGCAGAGAGTTAAATTTAAAAAGGGGGAAACAGGGGCTTGGGATTTAGCTCAGTGGCATAAGCGCCTTCCTTGGAAGCAGGCAGTTGTGAGTTCAATCCCCAGTACCGATAAAAAGGAAAAAGACACACACACACACACACAAAAAAAAAAAAGCCAGGAGGGGAAACAACTTTAGATTAGCAGTTGGGAAGCAGCAGGAAATATCAAATGCAAGGTTCCAAGTAGGAGAATTGATCTGGATATAGAAAATCTGGGGTCATAATTCCTGTGAAGATAGATACGAATAAATCATAAAAGGTTTTCTCACCGTTTGAGGTATTTTGCCCAAACCCTCAGCAATGGCCATAGCTTTCTTCTCCGGAATCTCTGAGACCATGGATCCCAAAGAGAAAACTACAACTCCATGTTCTCCAGAAGCATTAACATAAGCTTCAAATTCCTAGAGCCAAAAAAGAAACTTCTGGTTAATTGTTTCTCATATTCTTTGGTGAAGATATACATTGAACTCGGAATCAGACAGCTTCCTCTTAACAGCATGATTAAGGTGGGGTATGGTAGCACATGCCTGTAATTCCAGCACTTGGAAGGTAGAGGCAGGAGGATCCTTGCAAGTTTGAGACCAGCCTAGGCTAGGAAGTAAACTCAAGGTTGGCCTGAACTACATAGTGAAACCCTGTCTCAAAAAGACAAAATAAAGCACACAACAAAACAAAATATGATTAAATATGTATGAAATAAAGAAAAATATGTGTGCACTTCTATTGTATGAAATGCAACACTGGTCATCATTCCTTCCTATAAATTCTGGTCGGCCCATTACCAGTAAGCTTGAGAGCAATCTTATATTTACATGCATTAAACACAATACCTGCATCCCCTCCTCACTCCTTTCTAAAGGAGGAAGGTTTCTTGTTTACAGGGTTACCTGTGGGATTTTTTTTCAAGATAAAGAATCCATGTAATATGTTAACCTTCCAGAGTAAAAGCAGAGGCACATGTATGCATGTGTACACATATGCATATATATCCACACACATGTGCACACACATGTGCAGTCACATACTATGGCAGTTCCACTTGGTGGAAATGGAAGAGCAGGTCGGTATATAAATTCTCTCCTACTGTGGACTGTTAATCACCTAATTAACACTTCGAAGACTCCCAAATGGTTTTATAGGTCTCCAAAATATGATGAGGGCTGAGTAGTTTTGCCTATACCTGAGGGTCCCTGGGGCATGAAACCTTCAGTGTTAAAATCTGAACTATTCTGGGCAAACCAAGACCTTGTGCACATTACCTGTGAGACACAGAACAAATCCAACAAAGCTCAGTATACATCTGTGAAGCAGTGACTTTTGCCAGACTCTAACCTGAATGGGGTGGGACTGCCAAGAGCAACCCAAACTCTTCCCCAGAGCACACCCACTCTCCTTCCAACCAGGCCACAGGCTCCAGTACCCATCAAGTCCTCTGGCCCATCACAGCAGCTGTATCTTGGCCTAGTCTGGTGGCAGTGAACCTACAAGCACATGTGCCCCAGCAGGCTGTCTGTGTCATTGAAAGCTCTAAAAGATTGCCATTAATGGCTAGTCTATGGCTCATCTAAAAGTCAGAGGGGTCAGGCTTGCCCCCTCTACCACCATACTACACTTGAAGTCTGTGGCAAGGACACCCTGCTGATGGCTGTTCTGAAGTCCTCCTTCCCTAGGGCCATGCCATCCCTTTCTCCTCCCCCTTCATTACAGCTGGAGCCAAGCTTACTGCTAAGTAAGGACAGAGGCTCACCTACTCTGATCTTTGTTTCTTTAGACTGCATTCAATCTCCTATCAGGAAGGGAGAGTCAGTTATCCTTCCGAGGCCTACTCAGTTACTAGGAAGTGACTGACACAAGTCAAACACAGCCTCATCCAAAGTTAAATCATAGGATTTAACTGAAGTTTAAACAGTAGACAAGTTTATCTACAAGGACAGCAGAGCTTTTGGCAAAGATAGCATTATCTCTGACACCCTTTATGGGCTCCCATAAAGGAGTGCTCCATCCCCTCCCTGGTAAACTTTGCGATGCCTTGCGTGATTTCACAGGCCATGGAGAAGCCAAAGAGTGAACCAACACGTTGATTGCGTGTAACCTTTGACTCTCCGTCTCCTGTCTCTTTCCATAAAAACATGCCATACCTCTCCACCTCTCAAGGCTTCCGGAAAAGACTTTCCCACTCTGGTGAGATCTCCCTGTCCAAGATGAGAGCTTTAAAATAGAGCCTAAGTTATACCAAGAATTTAGGTTTTTTGTAGTTCTAAGCTTCATATTAGATTTTTTTTCTTCTCGAACATCTTTTGTCTTTCCAGAGTCTGCTACACGTTAGACATGTGTCACTGTATTGTTTGGTGTCCTGAGTCAATCCCATGTCCCTCCAGCTTCCTGGTCCCACGCAGGTGCTCTTCTCCTTGCTCTCTCAGTCTCTGGTCCCCACACCATCCTTCAGTAAGCTGTTTTTCCCAGACCCAACATATGTAGCTATGTACAGCTGCTAATCTGCTGCTGTACACAGATGGTGGCTCACCACGATAAAGAAATGACGAATGACACACCACTCTCCTAGAGTTCAATCCTTTTTCTCTTGTGTTGTTCTTCTCACTTTCAGACCTACCAAGTACAAGTCAAAGCCAGTTCATGCCCTCTCTAGTGACTCTATTAATGGAATAAAGATTTTATCTTTATTCTTTTTTTGTGGTGACAGGGATCAAGCCTACGGGTGCTCTACTACATCCTTAGCCCTTTTTATTTTATTTTGAGACAAAAGGACCTTGATAAGTTGCCAAAGGTGGCCTTCAATCTGTGGTCATCCTGCCTCAGCCTCCCAAGTACCTGAAATTACAGGTACCTGACAATTTTTTTGTAATACTGTGAACTAAACTCAGGGGTTTATGAAAGCGCTTACCACTAAGATACATCCTCAATCCTTTCTACTTTTAGAAATTTTCATACAAGATCTTTATTCTTTTTTAATCATTTTTTCCTTATCTTTATTCTTGAATTTCAGAACTTTTACCAAGAGAGTTGGAAATGGGACAGCTGGCAACAGAGGATTGGAAGTACAGAGTCGCATTTTTTATCTGACAAAAGTGCAAAGAGAAAATAAACAGTAACTTTCCAAATTGCAAAAGTCAGGCAAAGAGAAAATGGCAAAATAAACAAAACATAAAATAAATTGGAAGAGTTACAATCAAATCTAGTCATTGATAAATTCAAGCATGCAAAATGAAACTAATAAAGCAATCTATCTGGCCAGATTAAACGTATCAAAACTCCATGTTATTCAGAAAGAAAAAAAAAAACTCTCAAAGATAAAGGAGTACTCAGGAGGTCCTAGGTAAACGCAAACATAAACCTAGATTAATACTTTAAAAGTGAAATTTCTGATTAAAACACTGAAGAAGACAAAGAAGGCTACTATTAAGTACAATTTACATGAATATTTTTATACCTAAGCCTGCTTGCATCAACAAGGCAGTAACCAATTTATACTCTGCAATTCACCATGTAGACAAATTTATGGGGAAGGAGAACATGATTATATCAATAAGGGCTATGAAAAAGTTGATAAAATTGAGTAACCTCTCCTATAAAAATCCTAAAGTAAAGAAGGGACTGATTTAAATACAGACTATTTGTCCCAAAAATGGCAAGCATAATGCAAAATGATAAAATAAATACCAATTTCCACTCATATCAGCAGCCAGACAAGAATCCTTGATAGTGCCAGAATCATTCTCAGAAAATCTAATGAATTCAATAACCCTGATATTTGGCGTAAACTGCCTGTTGTGTAAGTCACTTATGATAAGAGAAATACAGAAGCTGCAGGACCCAGCTGCCTGCAGGAATATCTAGCAACTAAAACTTTAACCAAGACCATATAGATAGGCAACTTCCCTTGCCAGGATCTACAAATGACAAAGGACTAGTTCAATAAACTTAAACTTTAAGCACTTGGCCCAATCACACCACGGGATATGCCATACATTTTTGTTCTCTACAAAGTGCCCCAAACTCAGCAGTCTATGATCATAGCATTTAATGCCATGAAGCACAAAGTATAAAATGCCCAAGACATGCCTTCTCAAAATCTTAGATACAAAGAAAGTACTTAGAAGGTGATGCTTAAACTCAAGCCTAGACAACTTGTGAAATAAAAATTAACAAAAGAAGTCTCAATATGTTCATTTAGCATATACTTTCAGAAAGTGCCTTCATCTAAAGAACTCCCAAGAATATATGCATGTAAAAGTCTCATTCAAATACACACCTGGGAGAGCAGGTTTTTGTGAAGGCAGTTGATCCCACCAATAAAAGCTGTATTGGGCATGACGGGCTTGGGGTAGTCAAAAACAAAGTCATTTCTGAACAGCCAGAAAGATGCAGAGGATATAAGGTCGTGGACAGTCACATCTCTCTGAAGGACTTCTGAAGCAAGTGGCGCATAGGCAGAATAAACAAAATTGCATGCAACTTTCTCTGTTAAGGTAATGAGTGCATTCTTCACCCGCTGCAGGAAGGTCATGTGATCTGGGTTCAATGACATAGACCTAGGTACATAGGACATTGGGTTGGGGCACAGGGTAGCTTCAAAGTGCATGCCACATGGCAATGCATACAAGAAGAAAACAGCCGGGACAACCAGGTACTGGGCCACGATGGCACCACAAGGGAGGAAAGGGTCTGTCAACACAACATCAAAGCTGCTTTCCACCAGGGAGGCCATCAGCTCCTTGTTGTGCAACAGGTGAGAGCAGCCGGAAAAAAGCATGGCAGAGTCCTTTTTGATCTTCTTGTACATTTTGATCACACGTATCAAGAAAGGATCATTCTCAAAAACAAAATGCCCAAGTAGAGCAAAATTGGTCTCCAAGTCCTCCTTGCTGAATGGCACAGGGTACCTCTTCAAGGTGAAGGGTGAGTCTTCTTTTATATATAAGAGGGCATCAGGTGCCAGGACCACTATTTCATGTCCATTCTGCTGCAGTTGCTGGAGGGCCCCAACCATGCTCAGCCAGTGGCTGCCTTCCACTGGGACCACTAACAGCTTTCCAGCATGGGTCACCAAGGGCCTGAGAGCACACAGCAGGAGACCCAGGATAAGCAGATGTGGGATCCGGGATGCTGTGGCCATGGTGCCTCTGCCTTTGCTCTCTTTCACCAACTCCATATATCCAGAGCCAATGTACACACTAAGTTAATGTTTGATTGTGTCACATGACCAGAGCCACTAACTTGCAAGGATAGCATGAGTTTTACTTTTGGAAATGAAGAGGGTGACTATTGAACAGGTTTCTTAATAGGCCACAATACAAAACATCATAGTACCTTTTAATCCACTAATATTTAAAGAGATCAAGAAAATGTTACAAGAGAGGGAAAAAGGATAAGTGACAAAGTAAACTTCTCCAGAAATAAAACAATATTTTTTGGCCTTTTGGAAACGTGAGAGCATGCCATTGCAGCTCCCTTTGGACTGTGGAGGTCAAAGCATTCTCCTCCACAGCTCTCTTGGCACTGCCTGACCACCATATTGAAATTAGTATTGAGACCAGCAAAGAAAGAAGAGGAACAAAAATGAGAATGAGAGCACAAATGTATTGAGCTTAAACAAAGTACCAAATACTGTCAGGTTAAGCATTCCACAACATATTTTATGTAATCTCTTAGGTCTGTCCTGTAGAGGCAGATACCATAGTACTTCTCCCATTTTACAAAGTTACAGAGGCCAAGAGAGGCAAAGAGATTTTCCAGAGTCCTGTATTTCCTAAGTGGTAGAGTTAAGTTGTAGGCCCTCATTGTCGGTGCCCAGAACCCATAGTTCTTAACAACTCTCACAGTGTCTAGTCTATACCAGTACAGAGTCTGGTATAAGTCCTTGGTTGAAACTTACAACAAATTGTAAGTCAGAGGGAAAACTGAAAGTCGTTGTCTAATTTACACAAATGGAGAAAAGCGAGTCAAAAAGACAACGACAGAGGAGGTTCTCATACAGCACTAGCTGGTGTTCTAGGAGATCAGCGCAGGGTCACCTCCTCCTGAAGAACAGGCAAACCAAGGTGTGGACAGATACTGTGATTTTTATGACTTTCCCGGCATCACACAGAGCTTGGAATTATTTATCTATTGGATCTATCTATTTATTTATTGTGTGGTGGTAGAGATCAACGCAGGGCCTCACACATTCTAGGCAGGTGCTCTACCACTGAGCTACACACCTATCCTTGGAGTCTTTTTGAGACTGCTATATAGCAGCACGGTTTGGGGCCCTACTCTGCTCCAGATCAGGGAAATACTGATTCGTAATCTGAATGTTCAGCAATCTACATCCATCTTTATGAACTATTATGAGAACCACTGCTATGTAAACCAATAAAGCTTCTGCCTTGGAGTAAGAAAAAACCTGTGTCCCTAAGTGTTTATGGACACTACTACACTATCCCTACTACATTCCAGGCACAATGTTAGGATAGGTCCAGAAAATCATGTTAGAAATGGCCCCTGCTATGAGGAAGAGGTCCAGCAGGCAGAAACAAACCTGATTCAGACTCTTCAGCCTTCCCATCAGGACTTCCTGGAATGGACCCCAGTCCCTTGTCCAAGTTTATGGCTCCTCTTTGGTGGTCCTGCTTGATCCCTCTCTCTTCCCTTTACCCTCCATAAGGGATCACTTGCCTTCTCTCAAAATTTGTTTTATACTTTCCCAAACTGCTTTGTTAACTGAACTTTACTCCTGATAAGCTTCCTGCTGCCTCATATTCAGGCTTTCCAAGTGCCAAGTCCAGGGGTTCAAGTTCAGTCAGTCTATGTGATATGAACCTGGCAGTTTGTTCTGGTGAGATTAATGCACCCAGTTAGATCTGCTGCCCTTCATGATGAGTATGAGGAAGTTCATTAGTTAATTATTCTCCTTTTAGAACTAAGAGATTTTTATGGGGTGCTGCCACACAACTGATCAAACCAAGGGATGCGGTGCCAAGATACAATAAAAAGAAAATGGAGAGAACTCAGATGTCAAGAAATCACAAAAAGAAAATCACAGTCATGATAGCAGTTTTAGTGGGAACAATCACAACCTGAGTTCACCCATAGAGCTTTAAATGTGGCTTGCAAGTTTTGATGATGTTGATTTTCTAGTCCAGTGATTCTCATATCAGCTAGGGAACTCTGGGGATCCCAAAGAATTTTTCAGGGTAGTTTTACAAAGTCAAAACAATTACCCTAGCAACGATACTGTCTCCCCCCTCCCCCATTCCTTCATAAATGTACAGGGGAATCTGCAGAGATCATGTTACGATATCACAATAGACAATACAGAAGCAGATGCAAGACTCCAATTCTCTTCTATTAAGCCATAAAATGAAAAGAGATGTGAAAGATACCAAATGACACCCTCTTCTCATTTTTTTTCAAAAAACAATTATTTTCGGGCCAGGGATTTAGCTCAGTGGCATAAGCGCCTGCCTGGCAAGTGTGAGGTCATGAGTTCGATCCCTGGTACCAAAAAAAAAAAAAAAAAAAAAAAAAAAAACCAAACACAAACAATTATTTTCTCCTAACAATATGATTCACGTTGGTAATGAGTTATTAAATTGATTAGTGGATATCTTTTACAATTGTTTAAATTTCTCCTATGATAGAATAACCCGTATAAATGAAAGCAAATGGATTCCGAGGCCAACACGTTTGAGTACTGCAGTCCTCGATAACATGACTGGCCCTGTGCCCAGGGTCAGTAAAAACCCAGTCCTGACAACCCAGCCTTCCCTCAGGCTGAGGGAAAGGTTGATAGAAAACTGCCACTAAGAACAACATTTGCTAAGGTATCAGGAGTCACACTCCCTCTCCGTCCAGGCACCCCCTTTACCATCCTATTTAGAGACAACAGCAAGGCTAGAGCACGGAGCCAGAGGACCCAATACGGTGGGCGGAGCGGCTGTGTATCATAGTTTCTCCAAGCCCCTAGCGCAATGAATTCTGGGATGGGGAGGCAGCCTTCCCTTCAACCAATGAAAAGCCGCCACGTCACAAGGGCGGCCCTGTTGGGCGCCTGCGCCTGACCCTACATTCGTCCCGCCCCACGGGGCTGTGAGCTAAGCTCCAGGCCCCACAAGGCTGTCCAACATGGTGGACTACTATGAGGTGCTGGGCGTGCCTCGGCAGGCCTCGGCAGAGGCCATCAAGAAGGCGTACCGCAAACTGGCGCTCAAGTGGCACCCAGACAAAAATCCTGAGAACAAGGATGAAGCAGAAAGAAAATTCAAGCAAGTGGCCCAGGCCTACGAGGTGTTGTCTGACGCTAAGAAACGTGATGTCTATGACCGCTATGGTGAGGCAGGAATGGACGGAGGCACCAACACCGATGGGGCTTCCTTCGTTGACCCTTTCGAGTTTGTCTTCACCTTCCGTGACCCAGTGGAGGTCTTCAAGGAGTTCTTCAGAGGCCAGGACCCTTTCTCATTTGACTTCTTGGGAGACCCACTTGAGGATTTTTTTGGAGGCCAGAGGAGCTCCCAAAGGAGGAGAAGGTCCGAATCCCTTTTCTCCACCTTCAGTGAATTTCCAGCGTTCGGCAGTGGTTTTTCTTCCTTTGATACAGAATTTACTTCCTTTGGTTCCCTGGGAAATGGAGGCCTTTCTTCTTTCTCTATGTCTTGTGGGAGTGGTGGAACAGGCAGTTTCAAGTCAATGTCGACTTCCACCAAAATAGTTAATGGCAAAAAAGTCACTACCAAAAGAATCATTGAGAATGGCCAAGAAAGAATAGAAGTGGAAGAAGATGGGAAGTTGAAGTCTCTTCTGATAAATGGCAAAGAGCAGTTGCTACGCCTCAACACCAAGTAACTCCCCTCGACTTGAAACACATTTTGAGGGATAGAAGGCCGTTTTGTTAAGATGGCAAGTGAAATCTACTTTCAGACCAACTGTACCCAAAAATTTTTAAACAATTCGTGATAGTGCCGACTTGTTGTTATTGTTGTGATTACATGAATAGAATGTTTTTAAAACCTTTGAAAATATCAGTATACATATTACACTTCATCTTGAGGCAGACAAGGATTATTTTGTAGTGCTAGAACAAAATATTCACAGCACCTTACATTTTTCTGTTTTGTCTGATCTGTGAGCCAGGTAGCTAGCTCTGAAGTGTTTAAACTTTTATACAATTGTGGTGAAAGATTAATATACTAATATTTTTGGCATAAAAAAGGCTTTTTCTTATAAGTAAATGATGGTGGTATATTGAGTTAACCATTGATTAAAGTGTTATAGCTAGGCTGTATAAAAACAGGTAAACCTTGCAGAGTGGATAGAATTTGCTTCCTAGGTTGCCACAAATTTTCGCAATCAGTGCATATGTATTCTATCCAAGTTTTGAAGGCCAACAGTGTGAAATACATTTCACTGGCCTGAAAGCAGGGTTATCCAAGCATGCAAGCTCTGAAGGCTGAGGGCAAAATATTTATCTCAAAGTCTCAAGGTTACATGGACTGTTTTCAGCCCTAATTTGGTTCCTCAACTACAGTGGATGGTGGAAATGAAAAAAAACAAGCAAATGCCTTTTCCTAAGGTTGTACAAGTCTCTCTCATTACATATGGGTGACATACATCAAAGTAGCTTGATAAAAGTCAACTGGCACCTGAAATGTTGATTGGATGAGGCACTATACAGCTATCCGAGAAAATCGTGTTGCCAAGATTTAGACCCCACATGATAGCCTTTATGGAGATAATGTATTTGTGATAACCCATCACAGAATGTCCCATTCCTTAGTGCCTTTCCTTAACATTGTGTGACATGAAAGGGCAACTGAACTAGGTTAAAAATATAGTAAGTTCTTAATTTTTGCAGAGAGGTAATATGGGCTGCACACATTATCAACAAGCTAGGACCATGTGAGAATGGTTTTGTATGCCTTTTCAGGCCCTTGAAATCCAGTCTGCATGGTTCCTGCTTATGACAAGAACATGGCATTCATACCATAAGCATTGTACCATAAGAACAGATGGCCTCTTCAAACCACATCACAGGAATAGGTACCTGGGCAGATGCTTCCTATTTATTAACCATACCAAAGTGTTAGAATGAGACAAACTACCAGGGCTTCTGAAAAATCAATTCCTTTATTCAGGCTAGGGAGCTCCCTCCAGTGAAGATACTCACTGGGTAATTTTCTGGGGTTGGGTTGTTTCAGAAAAAACAGGATATCAGCAGTTTTGAGGTGATAGGAGCAGGTGTAGTGTCACAGCAGTTACGTGTGCTAGAAATCACTCTGGATAGGAAAAATGGGTATGTTCTTTCACAACTGGGTAAAAGATGCTCAGAAAAGAATGCAGCGATAGGCAGAGAGCCTGGCATACCTGAGATCTTTTAATAGCTCTACATAATTTACTAGTTGAGAGTCAACACGGTCACCAGTTTTTATGTATCCTGGATCAGTTCTTTGATGAATGAGCTTTGCCTTCACACATGTGTAAAGCATTTAACTTGAAGGATTCTTAAAATATAAACTTACAAGTAACTCAAAAAAAGCTCAGGTTACTATGGGCCAGTATGTGGATATTCATTTTCTATGGGAGGTTTGAACAGATTTTAATGGAATAAAAACAAGGGTATTTCCTTTGTTGCAGAGAAATGCTGCTCTTACAATACTGTGGGGAGAAGGCCATTTCACCTGCCTCAGGAAATAAGCCACATCCTAGTTACTGTAGTCTGTGAATGTGTTACATAGCAAAAAGACTATGCAGATACAATTAAGGGTCTTGACATATGCAGACTGTCCTGATGAATGCAGATATAGTCAGTGTCAGAAGGACTCTTATTTGAAACGGAGACATGGGAGACAGATCTGAACATAGCATGTTGCATGTACATGCCCCATATTTCCAACAAAGAAAAAGGATATTTTTTAAAGAAGTGTTGTGACTTGCATCTAGATGTCTCCCAAAATCTCATGCAGTCATGAGGAGGGCTTTTGAGAGTGGCTGGATCTAGAGTGTGATTAGTAAATCAGTCTACTGATTGGTTTGGCATAGTGCTGGATAAGATTGAGGGTATGAGTGCTACACCTATCCTAGGGTGGTAGCCTGCATAAAATGTAAGGACAGAAAGAGGGCTAGTGGTCCCTTTTGGCCCACTTGTCCTGAACTGTAACTCCTCTGTGATGCCTTTCTGCCACGGAGCCAGCCTCGACTGAAACCTCTATACACCGTGAGTTAGATAAACATTTCCTCCTTTAATTTGGCTCTTGAGTATTTTGTCTCACCAGTGAGAAAAGACAAAGGGAAAGGGAAACAAGATTAAGTTCACACAAAATGGGAGGAATAAATCAAGCACCATGTATTGTATCAATGTGCAGAATTCTTACATGAAAAGAAACTACCAGACTGATGTTCTTAAAAAAATATTTGAACCTTAGAAATAAACCTCCAACAGAAACTTTTGAAAGTAGAATCAGGAATAGCAATACTGGCATCAGAAGTGGATTATAAGGCATGGAATTCATGGGTCCAAGTAAATAAAACGTAAATGGTTAAGCCTGCATGCACTAATCTAGATGACTTGTGTGAAAGGCAGAAGTAGAATTACAAATTAATTATAAATTATCGGTTATATGAAGGAATATTAGTTAAGGTATGCTTTTGAGAATTGGACAATGAAATAAAGCTTTTTATGTATAAAAAGTGAAAAGACACAATTTGAATGGCTCCATGAAACATTTACAAATATTTGTCACATGATAACCACCAGCTTTATAGGACTATTGAGCACTTGAAATGTAAGGGTTCAAATTGAAACCTGCTGTAAAAGTAAAGTACACTTTAGAGTGCTTAGATCTCCTACAAGTACACCTCTATCCCTTCTGAGAAAGCACTCTTATAAACTATCATGTCAAAAATTTCAGTTTGCTAATTTGTTTATCTTTCTACTGAGTATCTCTAAGCTGCGCTTCTCCCAAGTAGGCCATTTCACAACACAATTTCTCTACTTCTGTACATCTGAAGGAAAATTACACCACCAAGAAGACAGTGATTGCTATATGGACAGTCCTTATAGAGTCACAAAATTATTTATGGTATTGGTCAGATGTGTATCTGCAGAGGTAAGGGGCTTTTGGAACCATATGTCTAAAAAACCCAGAGTGCATGGTTAGAGATTAAAAGACAACCTACAGAGAGCCACAAGTCCAAGAGGATTAAAATACATGTCCTTAAGTAGTAAAAGCTCTAGCCCTCTCTTTCCCATACTCCAACTTACAAATTAGTTTGGCCCTCAAGTCAATAATAATAGGCCACCCTGACCTTCCCCTGTCCTTTGCCTGTCCCCTACATAAATTCTTGCATGGCCATCCTTCTGTTGTCCTTTACACTTGCTTCCTACTTCTGTCAATAAAAAGCCACTGACGTTTCAGTTCAGGGCTGTCAGCTACGAGGCTCTCACATGCCAAGGGGTCTCAGTTAAGGGAAGACCCTCTGCGTCTTCCCAGAGCTTGAACATTGACTCTGGGAAATCTTGTCCTTTGCTCCATGTCATGGTCACAAACTGCAAAAATTGCTCCCCTGTTCTATCCAGATTCTCACTTCTACCTCTGTTCTCAGTGGCAATTGTGAGTTTTAAGCATGCTACTATTAACACCTCAGTACTTTCCTTACCAGAGACTGGTAGAGATGAAGAGGTACATGTCTTTGGATGTGATCCACTCGCTGCCACTACAGACCTTAAATTTACTTAGATAAACTTATCTACTGCAGACAAGCTAATAGTTTATCTCACTAAGACTGTTAAGAGAGGAGGCATATATCTTTGGAGAACTAAGTAGAAAAGCATTTGAAAGTCATTTTAAAAATGGTTTCTGTTGGAAGATTGATTGGATGAAAGCAACAACAAAGCACAGACCTGAGGGAGCGGCTTCCTGCTGATATAGTTGATGCCCCCGATGAAGACCATATTGGGCATGATGGGCCTGGGGTATTCCAACACAAAGTTCGCCCTGAACAGCCACATGGAAGCATGGCTGAGAATATTGACCACAGAAATATCCCTCTGGAAAAGCTCAAAGGCAATGCTTGCATATGGAGAAAGATTAACATAGCAAAGGAATTTCGTGAACAGAGGATACAGCATGTTCTTGACTCTGCAGGAAAATTATGTGGTTGAAGTAGGTTGTGAGAAACTGGGGAATATAGAAGAAAGGATGGGGACACTAGCCTCAAAATCCAGGCCACATGGGATGGCCCGCAAGAAAAACACAGCAAGCATGTGCAGATACTTAGCCATCAATGGCCCACAGGGATCAATGAGGTCAGTTAAAACCACATCGAAGGAACTGGAATTCAGATGGTTCATCAGGGAATTGTCATGACACATTTCCACACAAGCCTGTTCATAGGCTGCTGACAATGTCTTCAAAACCATGAAAGCTTTAAACTATGTCTTCAGAAAATTCTGTTTCAAAGATAAAACTGCTGTTCAAAAATTATATTCTTCCTTAGTATAGAGAAAGGTGTAGGCCTTCAGGGTAAAGAAGTCCTCCCTTTTAGTGTACCAAATGACCTTTGGAACCAGGACCACAGCCTGGTGGCCTTAGGCATGGAACTGTCTCACAGTGTCCTCCATGCTGAGCCAATGGCTGCCATCCATGGGTATCACTAGAACCTTCCCACTCTCAGCCCATGGCGTGACACACACCAGGGGCAGCAGCAGTCTTACCAGCCCTTGCAGAGGCAACTGAAGCACTGTGGCCACGTCCCCAGAAGCCAATAACACTGGTCCACCTAGCTTTACCAGATGGGAAGGAACTGCAAAGAACCTATCTAAGCTATGGTATAAGACTTTCCTTATAAGGGAAGCACCTGCAAACAACTCATCTGTGGTGTAAGAGTTTCCTTAGAAGGATCTGCAAAGAACTCATCTAACCTATGGTGGAAGTTTGCTTGGGCTAGATAATATAACAGCTGGAGAGTGCTTGCCTAGCATGGACAAACTAAATCCTAGGTTATATCCCCTACCCTGGGCCATAATTTTAAAAAGTA